TTTTCAAATGGTTTGTAGTGGTAAACAAGATCAAATTATCTCATCAAAGGTCGTTCTTATAACCAAATTAACCAAGAAGTAGCAGTAGCAGTAGCAGTAGTAGTGGTAGTAGTGGTAGTTTGGTACCCCATCTTAAGAAATCATATGTTTATCTACAGTATTTTACCTCAAACCACCTCATACTTAATACTGAATCAGTTTTTTCCAACTGTTTTCTGTCTTATATTTTCTTACCCTCACTCTATAATATTATCACAGCTCCCACCGTTTGGAGTTTTCTCTGGTTTTCTTCACCAAAGCATGAATCTGCCAGTATTGAAGTATATTATATTATCTTTATCTCATGTATTCTGTGTACTCTGTGGTTGTATAGAGCTCTCTGTATGAAGACAGTCTGTGTGGCAGCTCTCGAAGGGGCAATGCTCAAGTAGTAAGTCCTTTGAGTGAAGTGTCATCGAGAGAATTGGATTGTTTTTGTCTCACCTTGACTGAATTTTTGATTGGAAATACTTCAAGGGTCCCGTATTAAGTGAAATTTATTCTTGTGAGCTTTAAGCCACGTTATAATGTTGTTACCTCCTCAAAAATCATACTTGGAGTTGTTTTGTTTCATTCAACACATGTTTTATTATTTTTCTGTCTACATCTCCAAATCTCAAAATGCTCACCTTGCTACCTTTTACCTTTAGTTCAGTAGAGATTGGCAATTCCAGAGCTGAACTCATCTAGTGATTCTAGGATTCTAGTGAAGGTGAAGGTGTGGTTTTAAACTACTGTGTAGTTTAAAACCACAGTGGGGGCCTTCCTGTACTACCATGACATCACAAGGATAAGAACTTGTGTGCTAAACTTGTGTGAAATTTTTGATGAGGAAACAACATTATGAACGAGAAGTCAGAAAATAGCCTAATACGGGACCTTTAATGTGTGGTAATCCTTCTCAGCAGTTGTCATGGCCCCTCTTTTGTCCTATAGGGGATAGTATTGGTTTGTATCAAGTTAACACTAATTTGGGTTGTCTAAAGCACTGATACCCATAAACTAATCCTAATCTAATCTAATTAAATCTAAATACTATCAGTATTTTGAAAAGCATAAATAGAACCAAATTTGACATTTTCTGAATAATTTCATAGTCTTGATTTGTATCAGAAGACCAAATGTTGATTTTAAATAAGCTATTATTAATTTGTGTTGAAATGTAGATTTTCCCTGTGGTACTGAGATCATTATTGAGTATTGAGCATTTTCCGTGATATTAAGTTTGAAATTTTAGTATCATGGCGTCACCTATACTACTAATAAATCTACTTATCCTGATGTACGCTTTATTTTGGATATGCATGAAATTGGATTACCATTGTGGTGCTGTTTTAAAGTGTGGGTTAAGTACAATAAACTTGCTTGGATGGATATTGTTATTTACAGTACATGCATGGTTGAACGTTTAGTTTAATAATAATATTCATGCATTGCATTTTTATTTATAGCTGCATTTGTCAAGATACTCAAAAGCACTTTGTATTCTATTGTTGATTCACTCTACATTTGGTGGTGGTAAGTTACTTCTGTTACCACAGCTACCGTGCAACAAACTGACAAAAATGAACCTGTCAGTCTGCACCATCATCCTCTGACCACCACCAGCACACTCAGTCACGCACATCATTCATACTAGGCAAAGTGGGTATTGCCCAAGGACACAACAAAACTGCACTAACATTAGTTCTACCATATCAAAGAAAAAATGCATGCAGAATACTAATTGGTGCATGCTTTAATGATCACAGTTCCATATATAATTCCCAGTACATTTCCTGTGTAGCCTTTAGACTACAGCAGCTATCGGAGCTCAGGGTCCAGGTCCGGCTCCAGGACTTCATCTCGAGCCTCGTCCAGAGCCGGATCAGCTCGTACCAGTCCTGTGGTGAGACTCCAAGTGCCCCTTCCTCCATCTACAAAACAAACTACAAACTTACCCTCCTGCTGCTGATGTCTTTTGATACTTTGCAGCCGATATCTTCAATGTTCCTTTACCGATCTGTTAAGACTTAAATCTGATCTTTGTTTTAACACAATCTGACCATAAAGAATAGACGTACCTGTTGCTGATATTGTGCTGTCCCTCTCAAATTACATCACAGTCAAAAGCCAACAGTTTTTTGATTAGTCTCTCTCACCTCCTGAAAAAGTGTGTGCAAGTTTTCAGTTTTCAGACCAGCTAAATACTTGTCAGGCAGCATTTGCTAATGTGTACATAGTGTCACCCTTGTAACTGCTGAACATTCCTCCATAGACAAACGTGCAGTACCCCCCAGTGTGATGTGTCTGCAAAGTATCAATACCCTATCTGTAGATTTCATAATTATGAGAAATAAGAACAATTACCATCACAATTACAGATTTTAAACAAAATATTTATATCTTTTGAATGTTAAAAGGTCCTCCAAAATGTTGCGTGTAACAGCAGTCTGAAGTACATGAATACCTACACTTTGTTGCCGTTACCTGGAGTTGTTTATATTGTCTGTTGAAAAGTAGTAATTTAGTATGACAGAAAGAAAAGATAATTGGCAGTAAAAATATTTGTATACGTTTTACATCAATTAAAAGGTTTTATTACCACATAAGATAAGAGAGTGGTATTCAAAAGGCTTAGAAATGTTGTATGTTTAGATCTACATAAACCAGACTGTTTAGACAGCCTCAGTATATAATGCTAAAAAAATGTAGACTTGGCACTAAAAATCTTAGATCAATTCATAAGCTATAATTACTACATAGCCTGAGAGAGTGGTATTCAAAATGCTTAGAGGTACACATAAACCAGACTGTAGACAGCCTCTGTATATAAAGCATGCCACGCTTTTCTGTTTAATATCAAACTAATCCCTCTGTAGATAAGACTGTTTGCATATGTCAAAACTAGGTCTGTCATGATAACTTTTGAAGTAAGATATATATATTGCCAAAGAAAATATAGGTGACAAACAAAAATATTGAAACTAATTTATGCTACTGACACAGTAACCCTAAGTTATCCCCAAAAAGCTATTTTAAATGTACAAAATGGTTAAAAACATGAACTACACGAATAAATAGCAGAAGTTTGTATCTATAAAGAGTCAAAGAGTGCGTATACATGCAAAACAGTATCGCGGTTATTAGCCATATCCCGGTTATGGCAGTATTCGGGATACTGTGTATACATGCACCATGACGAAACTGGGATACTCAAAAAACCTGATCATACCTTGGATGCTGTTGTACATGTGTACACACTCATAGAAGTTATTTATTCAAGCCTCTACAGCTCAAAACTTATCATAGGTTACAGAAAAATACTAAGAACTACCTACAATAAATGTTGACTCCCAAACATAATTGTTCATCTATCATATATTGAATGATGAGTCAATAATTGTCATGACATGGCCCAGTTAATATTAGAAATATTTCCCTATCTGTAAAGAGGCAGGTATTTCCCGGTCGACCTGTTCAGAGCATTGATAACTGTTTATACACAGAGGTGTGGTTCAGAAAGTTGTGTTAGATTTTTCTCAAATCATTTGGGAATTAAATACAAATAATTAGGTAGAATGCAATAACCATTGTCCTACTTGTAAAAAGATAGACACCCTTATTTTAAGTTCAAGGTGTTTTTGAGCAATAAAAACACCTTTAATTGAATAAATGCAAGATGGATGAGTTTAATGGCATAATGTGGCACATTCCAGACAATGCAATAATATTTCAGGTGACAAAACCCCTCCACCAGAGAAGCTGCATAGTGTACCTTTAATATAGATAAATGACAACTTTAAATGTATTAAATTATGTGAAATTATTCAATTGCAATATCACAATCTTTCTTCTCCTGATAATTGTTTGGCTACAGTCTATAGTAGGAGCACTTTTCTTTTTGAGTTGCAAGTTCTTTCATAGCAAATAACTGGAATTGTGTGTTGTATTGTTGCGCCCTCTGGTGGATCCTCAGGACACAGGCAGCAGTTCAGTGGCCAGTTTTCTGAGGAGTGCAGTGAACAGTGGACTTCCTCGAGACCTGGACGATGTGACGATCCCAGACTTTTCAGACGTGAGTTTAAATGGCTGCAGGAGTACAGGAGGTGGTCCATAAGTTTGTCCTGAGTATGATAGTTGACACATTTTGAGAGCACGGATTGAATTAATACCAGTGTTTAACACTGAAATAAATGTTGCCTATACAGAATCTACAAAAATAGTAAAAAGTTACCAGTGCTGTGTTGGAATTGTGATTGACATTTGCGAGTCATTTTGTGGTGTTGGTTAAGTTTGGTTGTGGTTTGACAATAACTGACTATGCATGCTTTCTACTAGGGATACTCATATTTATGTTTGAGAGAATTTTTGCTCTAATAAACTAAAACCTTTTCTGCTAGCCCTGATGACACACCAAAGCCGTATCATTGTGGATTGTAATGTATGTGGTTGATATATGTTGTTAGTTTGCTATATGTTGCTAATATGTTAGGGTATATGATATTTAGGGTGGACCATGCAATGGCAGTCCACCTTACTTCACTTCACCATGTGAAAAAGTTGTTACAGAGTTGTGCACATGACTCAAAATTCATGCTTGTGATTGGGTGTTGGGTTTGTGAGAGCAAGGAAGGAAGTTTAGGTTTGAAAATTCTATACTAAGTAGTAGTAATCCAAAAAATTCAATTGTCTGTTGAAAAATAATTATTGGATTTGCACTCTAACATGGTTGTGTGATTTTATTAAGGTGGCTTTGAATGTTGATCTAATCACACATAGTCTTATCAAGCTACCACTTTGTGTGATTTCATTTTGGCTGTTGGACTTTGTTACTTGCACTATGTTAGTATGGTCTTGGTCTTTAAAAGCAAAGATGGAAAAAAGTTTGTGTTTGGTTCAGATTTTCTTTTTGAAGAATGGTGAAGGATTGTTATGTAATTGTTATGTTTTGATGTTTGACCCTCTTTTTATTTTGACAGGTGGAAGACGGCAACTATCTTGAAAAGGTAGGTTCACTGCATATTCGGATATCATTGTTTTAAGTTTATATTTTAATGGATTGAAGCTAAATTTAAATACATTTTTCAACTGTTTCCTTCAGGGGTCTCGAGCCGCCTCAGCCCTCACAGCCACCACACTCACGTCTTTAGGGGGGACATCCTCTAGACGGGGCAGCGGAGAGACAGCACTGACTCTAGATGCTGAGACGTCTATACGAGAAATTAAGGTAATGTTAAGAGGAAGCAATCAAGAGGAAGTAAGCATGCATCATTTTAATTTTGCTGATGGATGATTTTTAAGGAACTGATCTTAAAAATCTTATCTGAGTATTAACTGAAAGAAATGATAATGTTTAAATTAAGGATGGGATGAGATCCAGACACGAGATTGGGTCCACAAGAAAAGACAAGATGACATTTTGACAGAATTTATAATAATTAAATTACACAGTTCAATACACAATTTTGACCATTTTTGATTTATTTTATTTTTGCTGTCTTTGTAGCATTGCTTTTTTGGAACAGCAAAAATGTAAGACGCCAGCACTTTTCAGGTGTTTAAATTTGTGGTAATTTTGTGTCATAAGATCTTGTCCCATCCTCAGTCCAAATTATAAATGTCAGTGTAAAAGCCCTTGGAACTCACAGACCTGCTTATAGTAATAAACTATAATAAGTGATATAAAAACAATTTTAGATGTATGATTTGCAAAAAACTGTACACCTGTAAATCATTCATGCCATCGATATGTTATTTCACCTTTGCATGCATTTCTTTTGCTACACTCATTATATATATATTTTTTATATAAGATTCTAATTAAATACATCTGCAGATTCCATCACAGTCTGTCTATTCTCCTGTTCCATAAATTCCTCATTCATGCTGTTTTAAATGTCCTCTTTTTGCTTCAATTCTTCTGCCACCTCTGTGCTTGCCTCACTGCCACTGCTGCTGCTGCCTTCACTGCACTGCCCCCTGCAGGAGATTCATGAACTGAAGGATCAGATCCAGGACGTGGAGTCAAAATTCAACCAAAATCTGAAAGAAGCAAAGGTATTTCTGCTTGAAACTGTGTTTGCAATGCCATGAAGCTTTTATTTCTCAACTTTGCTCTTCAAAAAACTATGTACTGAGCACAGCATGTTGAGTTCCTATTTTGGTGACTAATTAGTTGTGTGTACACAGTACTGACCTGAGCTGTAATCATACATAACACAAGCCCATGCTCCAGTTTATCTGATTAGTTCAAGGGCTACAAGAATAACTACAATCAAATCAAAATGGCGATGGTCATAATTGGCTTACTGTAACACCTGCATTTAAGTTGAGACTATAAAGGAGATTCTTGAACTTGCTAACCCTGTAATTCTTATATTAGTTTAACTGGCAATATTTGGTACTGTTAATACGCATTTAACATGTGCTCTGTGGACTGAATCCCATTGTCATATTTAATCTATAGAAGGTAAGGTTTGTGACAAAAAAATATTTCTGTAACTACACTGGGCAAAAATATAATTAAATATAATAAACTGTTGCATATAAATGCTCTAATGAATTATTCTGTCATTAATCCACATGTATGTTATTGCATCATATTTTGAAATTAACTTTGCCAAACATCTCACCTGAGCTCTGTAAATAAACTGCTTAATCCTGTCTTTGTCACATTTTGCAGGACAAACTAGCAGAGGTGGAGGAGAAGTACCGTAAGGCGATGGTGTCTAACGCTCAGCTGGACAATGAGAAGAATAACCTGATGTACCAGGTGGACACACTGAAGGACTCTCTGATGGAGCTGGAGGAGCAGCTTGCGGAATCCAGGAGGGAGTACGAGGACAAGGCCAAGGTAAACAAGACCACCAAAATACCATAAAAAAACATAATTATTCATGAATCTTTTCTGATTATGTCTGCAATCAAAAGTTACAAAATAATTATGGTTCCCAGATGACCGCTAGAGGGCTTAGCTGAAAGTACAATGTTCCCTGTGCATGTGCAAAGACGTACAGGTGTTCAATGCTAACAATACTTTGAAAACATGCATTTTTACTGTGAGTGGACATTTTGATCTGGTGTTGTCACCTGCTTATCACAATGGAGATAGATATGTTTTATGCCATACTTGAGAACATGTGAAAGCACACATGAAAGCATGTGGCAGAACCTCCAACAGAGAAGTTGCATAGTGCATCTTTAATATATAATGTTGAATAAATGCACCTAAATACCAAAACTGACAGTAGTTTGGTACAGTATATTGATAAGTACTGTATAACCCCTACTTAAGAGCGGCATAATCACATTTCTTTTAATCACATTTTGTTTTTCTTCACAGGACTTTGAGAGGGAAAAACATGCCCACACAGTTCTACAGTTCCAGTTTAATGAACTAAAAGAGACTCTAAAACAAAGTGAGGAGCTGCTAAATGTAAGTACTTCAGTACTACAATTACTTGATTTGCCAGAGGCTTTCAGGTCTTATATTTGTTTAAAATGGTTGGTTTCTTGAGACCATTTTACTTAGGATTGCTTGTATGCCTGTACCACTTATTTTTGTAAAATAATATAATAATGGTTGAGCTTAGATACTTAACAGATCTGATACATTTCCAGTGTTACATTTGCAGTTTCCACTTGTACTGAAAAAGATTAATTTCTGTACACACATTTCATCTTTAAAATAATTCACATCTTTGAAATGCATGAACTGTATTTCTTTTTCCTTTCTCTCTTCCCAAACCTTTCTGCCCTTTTTAACTGCTCAGGAAATCCGTCAGCTGCGAATAAAAGAGGAGGGATTTCAGAGAGAAATCTCAGATCTACAAGAAACTGTGGACTGGAAAGATAAGAAAATCTCGGTATGGTCCTAGTGTATGTTACTACGGGATGGATGAGAATCTAAAAACAATAAATGTAATTTAGTTCATATTTCGCTCAATTTGATGGAAAATTTAGCAGAAAATGTTGTTATGTAGTTTTCTACGTAATAAACTATCAAGTCAATAACATAAATTCCTGTGACAATTATATGGATTTATATTATATGGAATTGAAATGTCTTAAAAAGGTCTATATAGTTTGAATATCCCTGTATCTGAACTACTTTAAATACTGGTTGTGATTGGGGGAGGGCCATAGATGTAGTTTGCCATCCACGCCCCTGTCAGTCTCAGGGCAGCTGTGACTACAGAAGTAGCTTTCCACTGAATGAAAAGCTCTTTGCGAAGTGTACCTTACCATACAGTTTCACAATGTAAAACCTTAAGATTCTCAGCCTTCATTGTAATCCTCCTTTCACCCATTTAATTGCATGCATTTCTCTCTTTTACACTCTGCCTCTCTTTCCACTGTGGTCTGATCCTGGGCCCTCTTCAGGCCTTAGAGAGACAGAAAGAATACACAGACGCCATTCGAATTGAACGAGATGAGCTAAGAGAAGAAGTTGTGAAGCTCAAAGATATTTTAAAGGTATTTTGTGTGTCCTGTGGTGTGTGCTAATATTTTATGTTGTGCTTATGTTTGTTATCATTGTCTTAAATAAATGTGTACGTGCTTTAGTGTGTGTGTGCAGTAAAAAATAGATGGTGCTTTTGTAGATATGGAGGGACAAAGGTTTAGGCTAGAGTTTTTCTCAGACTAAAACGCTGTTCCACCTTGTGATGTCATGTGGTAACACAGGATGTTCTCCACTGTGTTTTTAAACTCCATACAACTGCACTAGAATCATTTGGAAAATTTCAGCCCTGGAATTTCCCATTTCTCCTGGACAAAAGGTAAAAGGTAGCTAAAAACTACTGCTTCATGACATCACAAGGTGGAACACAGCACATTTTGAACTTTGGAGATGGAATCAGACTAATAATAAATGGTTACTCGGACATGTGTGAATTAAACAAAACACAACTCCAGGTATGTTTTTGATGCGGTAACAGCATGATAATGGCTTAAAGCTCAATTATGTGTAATATTGGACTTTTAAAGGTGGAGCACATATCACCTGCGTGTTTTCATCAAGATTTTATTACTTTGCCTGGAATATTCCACACAATAACATTATTTATTTGTTCTATTAAGCCTTAGTTTCTTGTTTTTTTTTTTAGTTTTTTGGGGGTTTTTTTTGGCCTGAATGTGCCTCCTGTTTGATAGATCAATTTAATGCAACTGTGGAACATTGCAGACAAAGCAATACCATCTCCATGGAGACAAGCAAATAGCAGACCCTCTAACCAGAAATTTACATAGTGCATCTTTAAATAAAATTGTATGGTAGTTCACATTCTCTTTCAACATCATATTTTATACCATTAAAAACTAATACATTTGTGTCATTCTCTTGTGCAGAAACATGGGATAGTCCTGGGTCCTGACTTAAACATAAATGGAGGAGTGACTGAGGCACTGAACACTGAGAACTCCAGCTCAGATCCAAACTCTCAGCCCACCCAAGAGACCCCCATTTCCCCCACAGAAGGCACCAACAGCATGCTGGGTAAGAATCCATTAAGATTTAGTACCACCTTCACTGCATGGCTTCGCACCTGACTAACATACTTAATCTTAAATGATCTGAGCATTTTACTATTGTTGCTAACCTGCACTTAAAGCACCTTAACATCTGTCGCACTGCTTGCTTTTTGTAATTATTAAAGGTAGAATATGTAGCATGCACTCATACAGATTTCTATTTTAGTTGTATATGCTGAAGTTATAAAGAAAATACATAAATAATTCCAAAGTCATAGAAATCAATCCCAAATAATAATTTTCATTTTTATTGACCTTTATCTAACCAGGATAGTCTCCCTGAAATTTGGAATCACAATAGGATGAAAACTAACCTGGCAACCGGCAGATTTGATACGTGTAGCACTCTGAATGGAGAGCATGCCAAGATGGATTCTTGTGAACACAAATATCGTGAGATTCCATCTTGCTGTGCAAGGTTAGGAAATAACACGGTTGTACTATTTTTAGGATTATTATAAAATCAGTACGTTTTATATGTAAAATCGCTTTGACCCAACCCACCCGATTCTGTGGGAAAACTGCATACTTGGCAACAGTGAGAAATAACATGATCATTAGAATAGTGTATTTTGCGGTCCTGATATAAAAAAAAACTAGAAAAGCACTCAGAGAGCGCAGACCTCCGCCAAGGACTACCCCCATTTTTTATATAAACTGCGATAAAATCAGTCTTCTGGATCAGATCCGGATCAGCCTTTGGAATATGAAAGAGGATCCCATTGTCCATCCCTGAGTCAAATTTCATGGGGTTTGGTCAATAATTAACCGAGATATTGAGAAACAAATTTTTGGCCCCATTTACCACAATGGTAACTAAAATTTCAAAGTGATCCAGAATCCAGGATTTCTTCCGGATCACCCCCAAAATGAAATCAGTTCTTCCTTTTCATATTTCCAACAAATCCTGAAAATTTCATCAAAATCGGTCCATAACTTTTTGAGTTATGTTGCTAACAGTCAAACAAACAAACAAACAAACAAACGCTGGCAAAAACATAACCTCCTTGGCGGAGGTAAAAAGGTCTTCATATTTGGTAGATGTTTGAGTTACAGGTGCACTATGTAACCTTTCTGTCAGAGTCTGCTACCTGTTTGTCTCCATGGAGATGTCATTGCTTTTGCCTTACATGCTCAAAGTACTTTGAAAAACATGCACTTTTAATGAGTTGTCTCCCCTCTCCACATCTGACCTGTTACACACCCTGCTGAGTGGAACATTTCAGGGACACAAACCTGCCACACGGTTGTATAGTGCACCTTTAATCAAATGAGGAGAAAAGGAAAGTTAATCTCTTAAATGACCTAAAAAACGACTTGACGACATAAGACGCTTTGTACTTGGCAAACAACACTGCATTCTTTTTGCTTTCCCTCCTTGATATGTTGGATCTTCTGGTGATTTTTTTCAGTATTGAATATTCCCTTGATTTCGGGGTCTCTCTATCTTCTTTTTGGCTTCTGAATCAATTGGGTGATCTGCCTCTTCTTTGGCTCTGCTGCTGCGGCTGTTCCTCCAAATCAACAACATTTTATAATATTTTCATCTCATTTTGGCATTTTTATCTCCACGGTTCTTCAGGAAACTCAGAAGAGGAGACCAAAGAGACGAGCAATCACCCAACTCAAGAAACCAAACTAGAACAAAATCAAGAAATGCAGGATGACACTGAAAAACAGCACTTGATGATTGAAAATTCTGCATCTATAGTGGAAATATGTGCTAACGAGGACCAACCAGAACCCAATATTGAACACTCAAATGCAAATACAGTTATGATGGGGACCGACCAAGTTGACTGCAACAAGTGTTGAGAAAAATGTGATAGAATTTGAACCAATTGAGCAAAAAGACACTGAACATACAGAATCGGAAGAGAAACAAACTATTGAAAATGCTGAAATTAAACCAACGTCTCAAGAAAATTTGGAAGAAATTATTAATGTTGAAAAAGTTGATTCTACACAGTTGACCAAAATAGAGCCTATGCAGTCTGATAATGCTACGGAAGACGATGCATTAGCTAAAGACGTTAAAAATATTGACCCAGTGGTTGCAACACCTAAAATTGATATTCAGCAAGATTTGGAGACACAAGATGGCGACAGCGAGGATGTATCGGCCAAATCTCATGTCGCTTCTAGTGGGGGCAAGAAAAAGAAACGTAAGAAGAGAGGTAAAAAGAAAGGAGCAACTTCAGAAGACAAAAAAGAACAAAATACTGGATCAGAAAAACAAACAAAAAGTGATGGTACAACTGGAGATGGTGGATCAGCAGTACAAGCCAACAATGAACTTTTGACAGACCAGAAAATTCAAGAAAATACTATGGAAAATGAGCAAGTAACTGAACAGATTACTTTGGTAGATGATTTTAAAGATGGTAAGCCAACAACCCAAATAGTAGAACAAACTGAAGCCATTTGTGATATTGATGCAGATACAGAAACCAAGAGTTTGATCAATGAACTAAACGCTGACAAAATTGAACTTAAAGCAACTATTGAAGAAACCAGTGACGATCAAACCCAAGATATTGTGGACATGGACCAAATTAACTTGGTGGAAGCTACAAAACAATTACAAGCTGGGTCAATTTCTGATATTGAAAAGGACACAGAGACCAGTAGCTTGATCAATGAACTGAGCACTGACAAGGTTGAAGAATCCAACGATGAACAAGCTCAAGAAATACAACAAACAGGACCAATTTGTGATACTGGAAAAGACACGGAAGCCAATAGCTTGATGGATAGCCTCGAGAAAGCTGAACAAAAAGTAACTCTTACTGAAGCTGATACAACTAGTTTGGAAACGGATCAAGCAGAAGTTTCATGTGGTGAGGCTGCCACTGGTACAACTTGCAATTCGGAAGGCATGGACTCACCTAAAAGCAAAGAAAAAATGCAATCTTTGGACAATATTGAACAAGAAATTGAAAGTGAAGCTAGTTTGGAAACGCATGATGGGAATGGTAACAATGTTGCTAAAATTGATTCAAACGAAAGTGATGTTGATGTTGCTATAACGGCTGAGAGCGGTCTACCAAGTTGTGATTGTGCTGCGATGTCTGAAAAGGACAATACTGATGAAGTTCAGAAACAAAATGCAGAGAGTCAAAGTACTGAAAGTGAACAAGCTACTACAAGTATCACAAATAGTCAAATGGATGATTCTCAGATCAGTGTACAAGATGATGATCTAAAAGAAAGCTTGGTAGAGATTGAGGAGCCAAAACTGCCAGAAAATCTTGAACATGTCAAAGATACAGATTCATGCATTGAAGAAACATCTACTTTTGATGCTCAAGATGCGATTTTGAACAATTGTGAAAGTGCGACGTTACAAAATATGGATTCAAATCAGGAACCAACTGCTAACGATGCTATGCCAATTACAGCAAGTGATATTGACAAAGTAATCACAGAGATTAATTTGATTGAGGAAAGCAAAGATGCAGAAATCATCCCTACTAAGAATGACACTGAATTGAAGTCAAGTCAAAGTGAACCAGATGATGCTAGCAGTGTGGTAACTGAATGTAAGTATGATGACAAGGAAGTTGAAGAGTCTAGCATAGCAAGTGGAGAGTTCAAATCAACGGGAAAAGAGAGCAAAGGTGGCGTAGTTGTTTTGGTCCGAGAATACACAGAAGAGGCTATTGAAAATTTGGATAGAGTTGATACAAATATAGAAAATACAGTTCAAATTGATTCGGAAAGTATGGTTGAGGAGCTGAAAGATCTTAGCCATGAAGATGAAGTAGCAAGTAGAGAGGATAAAGTTGAGGTCGGCTTAGATGTTTTGGTAGAAGACAATTCAAAAGACCAACTGATTAACACTGAATCACCAAAGGAGGATCAAAATATGGAAGATGACCATAAGGAGTTGGAAATAGTTGATATCAAGACTGACCTTGCTTCCCAAAATGTTGAGCAACCTGAAGAAAGCAAGGACGAGGAGATCAAAGCATTGGTTGACACTGGAGTTGAGGTTTTGGTTGAAGATGACAACTCAAAGAATACTCAACCACTAACTGAAATGCAAAGTTCTGAAAATTGCTACACGGAGGATGTAGGGTCACAAAATGAAGTAAAGCTACAACAACTTGCTACTAAAGAGGAAGAAGTTGAACTAGGATTTGAGGTTTCAGTAGAAGAGGACTTAAAAGACCAGTCGATAAACACAGAGTCACAAAATGACAATACAGAGTTGGAAAATCCAGGTGTACAGCCACAAAATGATTCAGATGTTTTAGCTTGCCAAACTGTTGACTTGTCTGAAAACAATGTAGAATTTGATGCAAAACAGTGTCCGCCAACGGAGCAAGGTGTTGAGGAAGAGGAGGATGAAGGAGAGGGGTTGTCATTTGATTTTGATGATTTGGAAATGGAAGCGGCTATAGCTCAAAGTTCAGAGCCTAAAACTATCAATGAAGAATTTGAGGTGGGAGTTGAAGTTTTGGCTGATGAAGCAAGCTTGAAAGATGATTCGAATGACAACCAACAAGAAGTAATTAGTCAAAATGATAATGGAAATAAAAACTTGGATATACTGAATAATAAGGAAGAACTTGAAGTCACAAATAATGACGAGGATAGTTTGGATGGTGTAAGTTTGGCCAGTCAATCCGAAATCTCTCAAGACGAAATTGGAGCAGCTTCTGAGCATGCAACAGTTGTACAAGATGCTAAACAGAACAGTAGTGAAAACAATAATAAGCAATCTTCTCCAATGGATGATGGGGGTTCCGATTTGGTCAAAACTAAAGATTTGCCAAGTGGGAAAAAACAAACAGGTTCAAATAGTGGACAAAATCGATCTGGAAAAGATGGTAGAAAGGGCAGTAAGAAAGGGAAAGGGAAAGGAAAAGATGAGTGTAAAATGAATTAATTCATTTGTGGATCATTATTGCTGTACTTGCTGCTATGTCACAGTATGCTTAAAGGTGCACTGCTTTTCTGGTGGAGGGTCAGCTACCTGCTTATCACCATGGAGATGTTGCTTTGAGTGGAATGTTCCACTATATAGCATTAAACTTGTATATCAGATACTTAACCAATTACAGTTGCTTTAATTATTCACAAATATCCCGTCAACCCTTTTCCTTCATGGAGATAGATAAGTTTAATGTTATATTGTGTAAAATTTCCGGACAGGTGACTGACCTTCCACCTGAAAAGTTACACAGTACACCTTTATTGTGACATCGGTCTTAAATGTGTGAATGTTTAGCTCCATGTAACAACAATGTAAGCAATTGTTGTAGCTGGCATTGTAGTTTACAAGTCAATATCAAGTCTTCTATATGAATCCGTGTAGTTGCTTCACCATTGCAAGTTATTAAGTAAATAAAACAAATTACTGAAACACATACATGAAAATCCAATTCTGGGACGAGTCTTACTAGTGAGAAATCATCTTGAACTCCTTTTCACTAACTTTGGATTATTATGTTGTCAAAATGTGTTTTGCTGACCTAAAACACCAAAGTAGCCTACATTTAAAATTAGATATGTTAACTGTAATGTTTGGTGACTTCAGTCTACAGTACTTCTAGGTTGGATCAAAAGCTCCTGTAATTGGCTCTTATAAAACATGTGACATTACTTACTTAAAAAACAAGTTGAGACTTTATTACATCTACTTTTTGTAACCTCAGTCCTCCTTAAAACTGGTTAACTGTCCCATGTTGTTTTGCTGCTTGGCCTTTTGTCCTAATGTAAGATGTAATGTAAAATGTGTCGCACTTTTTCTCTGTATATGTCATCCAGGTACTATTATATATATATGTAAGAAATCCTAGTTATAGTCACATCATATTGGTAACAGATTTTGCACTTCCTTAGTTATAAGGTTACACTGTTACCCAATTTAATGACCATATTTGGACACAGTTTGTTAAATATATTGCTATTACTGTTGCCATATATGTACTTCCATGTCTGTTTTCTTGTTTTAATTGCTGGAAAAGCCTTTGATATTCCTGCTGAATTGTTGGTTATTATTGAGTATATTGTGTAAAATGGCCACGTATGAACAACTAAGGAGTGAAATTGGGCCAAAATAACCATCTCGAACTTTTAACTATTATATTTTGCACTTAATGTTACTCATAAATGTAAGGTATCAACAAACACATGCAATAAATAAACTTTTTAATACTTGATGCTTAAAACTGTTGCCATGTTATTGATAAAACTGTACATTATTACATTACTAGTACATTATTTGTGGATTAGCATGACCAATTAGCTTAACAATTTAGCTGTTAGCAGATGCTATATGTCCCTCCATTGCATGTTCACAGATTTTGCATGCTAACATTAGTTTAACATTAGTTTCACAATCCTGCTACCTCTTCATGGATACCTGCTGCATGATCCGTACCCAACCCCACTCCTGCCATCGTCTCGTGGCTCATCCCATCCCTGACACAACCTTGGTAATGAATGTTTTGGATATTGTTATTTGTAGAAATTTGGGAGAAAAATGTTATTTGGTTTTGATTGTTGTGTTAATTATTATTCATGTTTCAGAAATTCGCTTGAGAAAACTGGTGGATGAAAGAGAGAAAATGATAGAACAGGTGAGTGCGCAGTGTAAATAAAACTTCACATATTTGAAAAAACAACGGTGCTTAATATCCAAACCAGTGGCAGTAAAATTATTTCAGTATATAATTTTACCATATAAAGCTGTATATATTTAATGTCAGTTGAAAACTAGCCAGGCTGGTGCCACCTAGTGCCTCCGCTCAATTTCATTTTTCTCCAGCGACTAGGTCAGGAGTCAGAGTACACTAAACAGTTCGCAAAAATCCTGGAAGTGCAAGTTCAAGCACCAGCCATTCAGCAAAGAGCCATATATTCGGTGTTGGCAACAATTCCCCAGATCGAGGATTTAAAGCCGGAATAAAGAGAAAGTTTGGTGAATTTCATCAAGGGGAAAGACGTTACTGCCCTTCTTCCTACGGGTTTTGGGAAAAGCTTTATATACCAGTTAGCCCCGTTTGCGGCGCGTTACATATGTGACTACCAAATAGCAGCGATTGGTTAAATGATAAAAAGTAAACGCCTACCGTCAAGCGAACAAATTCTAACACTGCAAGGTCAGACAGTTTCTACGAAGTGAAACCAGCTGATGAATCAGGCTAATTGAAAACGGCATCTTTTAGTGAAATCAGGTGAAATAAAATAATAAACTACTCAAATCTGTACATGTTTTCACAGTTGAAATTATTACCCTTGTCATTTGCACGTGATGTCCCAGATTGGTTTTATGTTTTTGTGGTAAGTGTCCTGGCCAGAAAAGTTTGGGGACCCGTATTCTACATAAAATTCAAACTAAAACTACGAAGGCCTTTAACGGGTCCTAGATTAGTTGAGGGGTGACGCAGCAGCACAGAACTGGTATAATATTGACTTCACTCGTGTTTTAGCTTGGTTAATTGTTTAGTCGGTGCTACATTAAGGCTGTTTCTTATGTTTACAATAATTTATGATATTTTTGAACAGGTGAAAAACCTCAAAGCTCAACTGGAACAGAAGACACAGAAGAATGGCACAGACAACTTGAGTCCTGATGGAGAGATTGTGGAAAACGGAAACGACCCTGCTCTAATAGAAATGCAAAGTAAAGATAATATATAGTAATATATAGTATAGAAATATTTACAATAACTACAACTGGTACAAACACTGTTATGGGGCTGGTGTTTGAATCTAATTTATTGCTTCTTTGTTTTAGGAGATGCCAGTAGACAAATGAATGACCTCAAGTTTAAACTGGTAAAGGCAGAGCAAGAGGCAACTGCTTTAGAACAAAATGTAATCTTCAAATTCTCATAATACAGTATTTACATTATCAAATACTGTATACTACTTGAAGTTCATATTTTTATTTAGGTTACAAGACTGGAAGGTCAAGTGGCTCGCTACAAATCTGCAGCTGAAAACTCAGAGAAAGTGGAGGATGAGCTCAAAGCAGAAAAACGCAAACTCCAAAGAGAGGTATCGCAAATATCAATAAATACATTCATAGATCTTGGTCCAATCCCTGCTACAGCATTTCCACCCTTTGTTGTGTATTTGGGCAAGACACTTTCTGGGCATAATGACCATGTTTCTGTCACCCTTTCCCAAGAAAATATTGGTTCATAGACTGAAAAGTGAAAGAATATTGCATCCTGTGGTGGCTTTTCAATGTCTATGAAACTGTCTATAAAGCAAAAGCTATATTTTAAATTTGTTTTCTAATGTTTTTGCCATTTAGAAATTATGCTATTGACAGTGATAAATTATAACAGATGTTTCTATATATCAATATTAAATGTCCCCCTTTTCTTCTCCCACAGTTGCGATCAGCACTGGACAAAATTGACGAACTTGAGTCGAACAACAACCATTTATCAAAGAGACTGGAGAAGATGAAGACCAGCAGAGGAATGGCTCCAACTCCATAGGATTAATATAGGATTATTTAAAAACATTATCACTGCTGAGCTCACTGCAACTTCACTCTACACTCTGCAAAACATGTGCCATTTATTTGAAAATGTAAGGATCTCCTAGCATTGAGTCCAATCTGAATATCTTGGTAAATGAATTGAATGCATGTGTGAAACTGATTGTGTGGTTATTAAACACTGTTCTGCACCAAAATGAAGGAAGGTTGCATTTAAGGAAAAAGCAACAGTTTAACATTTAACTGACCATTTCATTTTTGGGTTTCAATGTTCTACAATGAGAGATGGACTTGCACTGCCCTCTTCTGGCTGCCTCTCCTCAATACAACAACATTACCTGCCATGTCCCATATAGGTAGCCCATTAAACGTCATATATACTAGTAGATTATACTTTATTCAGGATTTTTGGACTTTTTGGAGATGGGATTAAATATGAAAACTCCAGGATGTTTTTAATTTAGATAAAAACATAACTGTTTTAACTGCTAAAAATAATCATCTTTGCATAAAATATGAACTTAATTGATTTGGGGATTTGAGGCTTTGTTCACACTGGTTTGGTCCTGGTTTAATCTTGTTCTAGTCCTGGTTTAGTCCTAATTCCACAGCACCTTATAATGATATATTATACATTATTATTTGAGATCAGGAACCTGTCAAATTATAATTACTATTAAAATGTACTGTATAGTTAGTACAATGCCTGGATATCTAAGAATACAACTTAAGTTCATAGTTAATATGTTCAGTCCTGTTGTACTTCTTTCTCTGGTGCTTTCTCTTGAATGATGATTGAATGATTTCCAGTTTTCTCAAAAGCCAAAGTATTTTCAATTGTGATATCAAAACTTGTTCATCTGAAGTAGCTTTTTATTAATTTTGTTATCAACATACTTTTAAGAGCTAAATCAACAATGGCTTTGAAAAGTTAAATTTATAAAGAACATGTTAAAGGCATAAGTAATATTTTAAATGTTTTTTCAGACATGCTTAAAGGTGCATTGTGTAACTTTTCTGGTGGAGTGTCCACCAAATGCTTTTCTCTGTGGAGATGTTATTGCTTTGTCTGAAATGTTTCACAGTATGGTATTAAACCTTTCTATCTTTGAGTGACAGACCACCAGTCAAAAAGTTACATAATGCACCTTGAAAGTAGGGCTGTACAAAATATTGCTAAATCAATTTTATAAAAACTAAATACACTGCAAAAGAAAGAGTTTCTGACTGTTGTGACTTGTTTTCTGTTGGTCAAATTGCAACAATATCATTATCGCAATTTAAAAGCTGTTGAATTGGATGAGATTCTTTCCTCATATGGTGCAGCCCTAAGTAAAGGTTATACTGCCAAAGACAAACCATGTAATGGCCACTGGTCATTGAATGTCTAACTCCCATATGACAAAAGCTTGCATTTGCTTTTCACTTGATCACGCCTCAGAGCTGAAACAGGGACTCAAAGCAAAAGGACAATCTGACCACGGGACTTGTTGCTTCACTGTTTACAAGAGCTTTGAAATGTTTGTAAAGAGAAAAAAAAAAGTAATTTGTGCAATAAAAATGTAAATTTCTGAATTTCTCATTTTTATTCTCCCTGAAAACAATATAACACCTGGCATTTGCTGCACATTTTTACTTTAGGACATCTATTTATGATTTTGAAAAGTAATATTGTGAGACTTTTGATATTGTGATATACAATCTTAGACTGTATATATAAATGGGTGAGATGTGTGTATACAATGAAAGATGCACTGCATAACTTTTCTGGTGGAGGGTCTGCCAATCTGCCATCTCCTGAAATGGTTGGTTTAATGAGAATGTTTCATAGTGTGACATTAAACGTAATGCTCGTGCATTTATTCAATAACAGATGCTTTTAATAAATTGACAAAAATACATTCTTGTTGTGAGTAGGCTCACTTCTCCACAAATTTGACCTTTAATTTGGCTGATAGATTAAAATGTAGAAGGCATAACAATAAAGTGGAAAAGAGGAACAAACAATTTGTGTTTTTATTTCTTTTATTAAATATAGTGCAAAAAGCATTATAGCCAAAATTTTAACCTCACAAACTGATTTCTCCTCGTTTTATCCAGGATTTTTTACTTCACCATTATTACTGTCCTTTGGCTCATTTGGTTCACAGTAAGTCCTCTTCTGTATTCTCTGAACCATCCTTCGTCCATAAAAGTCCTTATACTCAGGAGGCAGTTCGTCCAAAGTGTGCAGTGCCCTCTCTAAAGCCTGGAGAGCTCGAGTCGCAGCCACTGGGTCCTTATTTCCGTATGGATCCTTTTTGTCATAACTGTCTGGCTGTAGGTGGCGCCAAAACACATTCACCCCCACTCCAAACTCCAAGGCTAGAGTGTTGTGGAACCAGAGGGCTGTGAAGGAAAAAGCAGATTGATGTCTATTGTGAGCACATATTTCTATTGAGAATATGTTTTATTGTTTTATGTATCAAGCAAGATATAATATAGAAAAAAAGAAAAAAAAATGGGTTAAGCAATTTTAATTAGCAATGGTATTACCAGGAATAAACAGCAGGTCTCCAGGCTGCAGCACACACTCGTATCTCTTCGCTTTAACAAACTCAGGAAACTTCTCCAGATCTGGGGAGTCTATGTCCAGGACTTCAGATTTATCTCCTGTCAAGAATTTATGAACATTACAATAATAATGAATTCATTAATGACAGTCTTGTTCACTCAATGTTGTGCAGGTGTGAGGATATAAATTGAATATAAAGGTGCATCTTGTAACTTTTCTGGCGGTGAGTCCGTCATATGCTTTTCTTAATGGTGATGTTATTGCTTTGTCTGGAATGTTTCACAGTATGGCATTAAACCTTTCTATCTTCAGACCAAGTTACAGGTCACATCTGTGGAAAAGCAATCCTGCTCATAATCAGAATACCTGTTTTTCTAGATATTTTTGAGCTATAAAACCACCTTTAATTGGATAAATGTACGGTAGATCTGTTTAACGTCATATTGTGGATCAAAAAGTGACGGGCCCCCAACTGAAAAGTTACATAGTGCACCTTTAACAAACATGATACAATGGTACCAGAATACAAAAGTCTGATACACTTAACTCTATTTAGAAAGTTTGGTATTTCTTTTTAAATTGGTTGGTATGTTACCTGACATGTACAGATACAGTGCATCCTGAGGGCTATAGAGGACCACTCTTTTTGTTCCTGTCACCTGAGCCAAAAGGTTATCCATCACCTGTACATCATAAATAAGAGTTTTGAGTTTGAGTTACAAGACAGCAGAAAATACTATAGCTACAAATACTGCTGCTACTATCTCAATACTACTCCTACTACCGCAATATTTTACTTACGTCGTAGTGAGTCCAGAGCTGCAGACCACAGGAGCTGATACGAAAAACACTGGAGAAAAATTTATCTGGATCAAAAAACTCTGGGATTTTAAAATCTTCAGCCAAAACTGGGAACTGTTTCTTTATGTCAGCTGGTTCCTGAAAATTGCATCAAACCAGTTAAATATTAAATGGCAACTTAATAATATTAAACAACTAAATATTTACTTAAGAATATTTGGACAGCTAGTTTTCAACTAACTTACCTTTCGCACATCCTCTCCAAGAGATCGTAGGTAGTAACTTTCATCCTAAAAAACAAGACACAAATAATTACACTATATTTCCACAGTTTATGCATACATAACTTATTCTCCATTGCATGTCAGTTAGTAGCAGTATAAGTATTGCATGCAAGTTCATTTCAATTCCAGGTACAATATTATTAATATTATTAGATTAGGTAATATCCAGTTGACCTAGTAATATTGTTTTGAATTTAACAACGTACCTCACATAAGAAGAAATCAGAATGCATTTTCTCCGATGCCCTTTTCACAAACTCATTGAATGCCAATGTCCTGGAAGCATGTAAACAATATATAGATTAATATTTGTAACTGCAGATAGTAAAAATGCACTGTGTAACTTTTCTGGGAGGTAGCCAGCCACCTGTTTGTTTCCATGAAGATGTTCTTGCTTTGTCTAAAATGTTTCACAATACGTCATGTAATTGTAAATGTAATTATCTCCATGAAGAAAAACAAATTACGCGTCCAGGACAAGTGTCAAATCTGTGGAGAGGCAAGCCCGCTCACAGTATGAGTGCATTTTAAGGGATTTTTGAGCATTCATCGACATACAGTGGAAGATTCCAGGCTCAGTGAATAGCATGTTCATGGAGATCAGGAGGTGGTGTACCCAGAAAAGTTACATGGTGCACATTTAACTTGGTGAAATAGTTTAATGATTGTGACACACTTGTAAACAAAGTTCTTATGTAGGAAGTCCATCGTTGGCACAGTGGATACATGAACCTTCACCTCCAGATCTCCTCCCTTCTCTCTGAGGTACTGAGTCGTCCATTTTTCCAAACAAGGCCCCACACACACTCCTCTGAGCACAGCTGGTCTACGCTGAAAAAATAGGCCAAAGAATATTGTAAAGGAACGTTTGGGAAAACAATGCATCAAATTCTCAAATCTTTATTTTGTTTTTTTATGACTGAGTATTTCATTTTGATAGTGGTTTATCAAGTGGCTGGGTATAACAGTGTTCAGCACACTTATTATCCTGTTGTCACTATTCAAAAACATCTGTTATATTTATTTGAATCTTATATAGTCTTTGTATATTTTTCAAGGCACTAAACATTAGTACATTATTTATTCACTCCTTATTCAGTATTACTTGCACATAAACAGTTAAATAATCATGCCTTATTTGACACCAATCTCTTGATATTTTTGTTACTTATTTAGAATGTATAGTTACGATTTATATGTGTCCAAATAATTTCCCTTGTAGAGCAATAAAGTTTGTCTAAATTTACTTTACAAAAACATATTAGTAGTGGATTCTGAACTGGATTTACACCTTTACCTTTCCAGTGTACAAAACCTGTAATGAAGTCAACTAGTTTATGAGTTTAAATACACATTGCCAAAAATCTAATACATGCAGACATCATTCATTACGAAGCTATTGATTGGTGAATGTTAGAATATACATGCAAAACAACATACCATGTTCAGTTCACTACTCGTTTTTATTTTCGCACGTAACTTACCTTTGGATAAATATCACGTAGAAACACGTCCCTATCCACTCTTGTAAACACGGGTACATCTATTTTTTCCTGAAGCTCCATAATTCATAATTTATAATTCACACAAAACTCTCTCAAGTCCATGCACTTTCTTCATGCATGTTGATTGTGTCACAGTTTTATCATTCCCCATTCAAAATAACTATTGTTTCTACCCGGACCACAAATATAAACGGACAAGAAACACTACGCAACAAACATGGCGCTGCCCGTATTCAGAGGTTGTTGTCGTCTGACAGTATCTTTCGGAATAAAACGTTTATTTACTGTAGACAGGTATACACTGATCCGGAGCCATATACCGGGATGTTCTTCCACAGCTGCTCGCCTTTCAGTGACGTTATTTCGGCCTTACAGTTCAGACAGAGAGCCTCAAAAACAAAGACAAAAAGTGGTCGTAGTCGGTATCCCCAATCCGTTCATTTGGTTTCGGACCAAAATTTACTATTTTCTAATAAGGGCATACTTCGATAAAGATTTCACGATTGAAGAGTTCACGGAAGGAGCTCAACAGGTAAAGGATTAAATTAACTAGTTAGAAAGTCACTATCGTACTGGAACGTTGTCTGCATTTCTCTTCTAGATGTTGAGATATTGTAAAAATGAAATTAGTTTTAAAATAGTCTCTCATCCCATCCAAAATGATGATGTATTTGAGTGTTTGAGTGTTATTTAGTTTAGCTGAAAAAAGGTAAAGGTTTATTCTTACTCTACCATTTGTCTTTTGAGGCCTTCACACATGTTTCCAGACTTCTGTCACAGTGCCAGTTTGAAGCACTAGAAGGGCTTGTAGCAAAAGATGTAAGTACACTTAATAAATATGTGTAATATGCAAAAGATAGCTTATTTAACAGAATAAATGACAATGGAAATGTTATTATTTACCCCATGATAATTCATTGTTCCATCATTTTTATATTTTCAGCTCATTGGGAAACTGGAAGAAAAATGTAACTTATTGCCTTCACATTACAAGAAGGCCCTTTTGGCAGATCCAGATGAGATCATGTACACGACTCCTGGAGACGTCGGCATTTACTATGACGACAGTGGTCAGTGTCATCAACCACTACTAACTGTGCTTCCTCTGCATCATAGGATATTCACTCTTCCTTCTCTGTACCATGTAGTCACTGTCCCTTCTCTGTGCATGCTCAATCCATTTAACATGAACAATTCCTCTGGTCCTCTCATTCTTAGTCCTCATCATATTTGTCTGTCATAAGCACATTTAATACTTCACTTGTGGAACAATTTTTGTTTTTTAATTGTTATAACAATCTAAGTTTTTCGTTATTTTCCATATGTTTATCAGGTCGTAAGTTTGTAAGTATCTTGATGCGTTTCTGGTACTTGACCAATGCAAGACTTCCTGATGACTCTTTGGAGGGAACCCGCGTTTTCCAAGTTGCCATCGGAGGAGAAGGAGACGCAGAGACGAAACGACTACTGACTGCAAACTATGAGTGAGCTTTTCTGGACAATAATTATATAGAATCATATGTAATGATTTCTGTTGGTATACAAGTAAACATTCACTCTAAAAAAAAAAACATTTGTCCAGCTGACAGATTTGATTTTTTTCTTTTTACTCTTTATCATAACAGATTTCAGCGTGAATTCACCAAAGGAGTTGACCCAGACTGGACCATCACACGGATAGAGCACTCCAAGCTTTTGGATTAAAGTCATTTTGAATTTTAGCCATTTTCTTGTCATTTCAACAACTCTTTTATGAGACTGTTAATTTTTCAACAATGACAAAGGCGCAGGTCAGCTTCTACTATATAAAACACAGAAAATAGTATGCATTTTTAACTTTATTTACTACTCAATGAAGTTTGATTGGAAAGTATTACATTATCATACTGTAAAGGTCACTTGGTTTCTTTTCTGAAGATAGTTCAGTCTTTTATTTGTATGACCTCTGGATGGAGCTGATTTGTGTCCCCATTAAACCAAACCATTTCTGTTCAGTTCAGTATGACTGAGTTTACTGATATGGAATGTACTCTTATTATGCTTTATGTGTATATAATTAAACATGACAGTTTAATTAATTTAAGAAAAAGTGTTGTGTCTTTATTGCGTAACCTTTTTTTCACTGTAAAAAATGGATATGAAATTACATACTGAAAACTAAAGGCGTATTTCCACATTATGGATCATTTGAATGGACAAAATGGGTGTGCCTGTGTCAGAGGGAAAATGACATGAATCAATCATGGCTGTATAGCACAACTGCTGAATACGATCAATAAATGCAATAGAAGATATTGGACAAAACATGATACAGAAATGTAGATATTTAATATTATAAACCTCAAAATAAATTTATTGATATGATATATACACACACGCAGAGATACACACACTACATTATGATGTCATTTGGTGTCTCCTCTTTCCTATTGGCTACGTTTCCCATCCTGTCTTCTGATTGGTCGGTCCACCTGTCAATCATGGTGCAGCGTACTCCGTGCGGTTCCTGTTGTGGTCTGGTCTACGCTGACAGGGCTGAGTGTCCGTGTGTGCCTCAGGTTGGGCAGAATGAACGGTTAAAATATGGACGTCCGACAAATGTAAAATATAAAACAATATTTGGACCATGAAGGCTGTTAGCGTAGCCTTATACGGGCTCGCTTTAGGGCTGCTAGCGATCGGCCTACGAGAATTACTGACCGGTTTCGAAGAGAATAGGTGCAGCATGACTTATATGTTTGAATACCCAGAGTACAGGGTAAGTATAATGCTAATTATCACTCAAATTAATTCAATAACAGCGTGTAACGTGGTGTACTAAAAGCCAATGGTAGTAGTAGCTAATGCATGCTCAGTTTTCACAATCAAACGTCATTTATTTGCATTTCCTGGTGATGCTAGCTTTACCTGTCTTGAAAAAGTAGGCGTGTAGCTAATGTATTTTTCCTGATGTTATTATCTTATGGCAGTCATTCACCTGTATTTCAGTTCTAACTAAGGCGTAATTCTCAAAGGATGTACTAAAATTAGCAGTGTTGTAAAAGCAAAAACTAATAGCAGCTGATCCCACAACAATCCTATCAACACCAGATAATCTTTGTAAATGGGGACATGTGAGGTGAAAAGTAGTAGTAGTAGTAGTACTAGTAGTAGTAGTCGTAGTAGTCGTCCATGAATAATGTGTTCATCTGCCCAGAAGTGGGACACATCTGGAGGCTATCTTCAGTATTGACATCCATCTTTCACTGGGCTACACTTGAATGGACTTTCAGCAGGCCATGTTAGAAAGAAAGAGCTTGAGGACTTAAAGATCATAGCTTTTAAACTAATGCATGGTGCTCCTGGTTAGCATTAATGTGTTGTCAATGTTATTTAATGTATTGCTATGATGAAAAGGGAAATAACAGTAACTGTAAAACATATATATACACTACCGTTCAAAAGTTTGGGGTCGCCCAGACAATTTTGTGTTTTCCATGAAAAGTCACACTTTTATTTACCACCATGAGTTGTAAAATGAACAGAAAATATAGTCAAGACATTGGCAAGGTTAGAAATAATGATTTGTATTTGAAAAAAATATTTTTTTCCTTCAAACTTTGCTTTAATCAAAGAATCCTCAATTTCCAGCAATTACAGCATTGCAGACCTTTGGCATTGTAGCTGTTAATTTGTTGAGGCAATCTGGAGAAATTTCACCCCACGCTTTAAGAATCCCCTCCCACAAGTTGGATTGGCTGGATGGGCACTTCTTGTGTACCGTACGGTCAAGATGCCCACTTCTCTTTCTACTCTGCTTAGAGCCTTTTTGTGCTGTTCTCTGAAGGAAGTAGTACACACCGTTGTAGGAAATCTTCAGTTTCTTGGCAATTTCTTGCATGGAATAGCTTTAATTTCTAAGAACAAAAATAGACTGTTGAGTTTCACATGAAAATTCTCTTTTTCTGGCCATTTTGAGCATTTAATTGACCCCACAAATGTGATGCACCAGATACTCAACCTGCTCAAAGAAAGGTCAGTTTTATAGCTTCTCTAACCAGCTAAACTGTTTTCACCTGTTTTAACATGATTGCACAAGGGTTTTCTAATCATCCTTTAGCCTTCTGACACAATGACATTGTACCATTAGAACACTGGAGTGACAGTTTTTGGAAATGGGCCTCTACACACCTATGTAGATATTGCATCAAAAACAAACATGCCTGCATAAATATATCAGCAAGTAAGTATGTTTATTGACCTTTATTTAACTAGGGTAGTCTCATTGAGATTTTTAATCACTGGATTTATAATCATTGGATTTATGTAGCGCCTTTCAAGATACCCAGAGTGCTTTACTTCTACGCACTCAGTGGTGGTAAGCTACTATTTTAGCCACAGCTGCCCTGGGGCAGACTTTTTTTTTCAGCAGCAGGAAATGGAATGTTTCCAAATTCTTTGTTCCTGTGATAAAGTGTAGCCTAAAGTATGATGTAATGTTGTTTTTAAATTTGACTTTGTACATTTGTTTCCTTTCCAGCGAGTGTCTTTATCTCGGCGAGTGAGCAAACTGTACCCGGCCTACGGGCTATACCTGTATGGAGAGGGGGTGTATGCCCAGGAAACACGCAACCTCAAACTTAGTGGTGCCCCAGTCCTTTTCCTGCCTGGGAATGCTGGAAGTCACAAACAAGGCAAGTTCATATAATATTAATTTAATTTATGATCACACTTGAAGCAAGTTGTATATTTTTCTTTATTTACATCCTTGTATTTCAAATCTGTTATTAGAAAATAACTGCTTACTAAACATCAAAGCTGCTAGAACCAAATCAAAGCACAATTTGATTGGTCGCAGTTAGCATGTATCAAAAACTTTAATTATTTACTCACAACACAATGTCCTATTTAAATATCTACAACATATTGTCTACGCGGCGTCTCCTGATATATAAATCCAGTACCCTGTAGTTTAAACCTCCAAGGACATGTTTTGAAATGCATGGGATTCCTCTACAATATTAGATCAGCACAAATAAAGCAGAAGCTTAGAGGATAGAGGATCTTGGGGGATTTCTTAAAAAAAAAAAAAAAAATTATGATATATATTTGCAACTTACAAAGCAAAACTCAACCACTGGCTTTTCATATTACGATGTTCCGGGGTTGTGTAAGGACATGGGGACAGCCTTGAGCTTTTTGTTGATTAGTTCCACCTGACCAGCATACAAACTGGACCGCCCTTCAAAATGCATTTTATTTGTACTGCCCTTGCAAATAAATTGTGTCTCATATTGTAGCCATGCCAGGAACACTGTACTGTTCTTTATTATTACCTTCTTCCGCATGGCCATTGATAGCAAAATAAAAAAAATAAAATAAAATGGTTGCCTTATCAATGAAGAGGCACCTAATATTACAGGTGGAGTGCCTAACTTTTCTGGAGGAGGTTTTGCAACGTCTTACATATATTGAGACATTATGGCTTTGTCTGGAATGTTATTTAGTATAGCATTAAACTTCTTCATTAAGTAAGCAGGTGTCTTCATCAAGTTACACAAAAGGAATATGTAAGATATTTTTTTGCTATAAAGATTGTATCACATGGAATCAAAGCACATAGAACAAGTGCAGTGCATATGTAGTTGTATTGTATAAAAAAATGTGTGGTACAACATAAAACACATGAAATGTTGTTATAGGCTCCAATGCTTTTGATATGGACACATGTATTAATTTATCTAACTATTTTGTAACAAAAAAAAAATACAAGAATTTAAATAGAATGAAAATCCCAACATAATTCTTTCATCAGATGAGGGCTGCGCTCACAATTGCACACACTACATCAAAAACTAAACTAAACCGGGACTTCACCTGGAACTCAACTTGGACTCCAAAACTAAACAAGGATTAGGACAGGACAAAACCATGTCTATGTCAGGACTAAACAAGGCTTAAACCAGGACCAAACCAACACATCCAAATTTAAGACTACAAGTTAATTTTTCTTGTCATTTCTTCCCCCTGCAGCTCGTTCCTTGGGCTCTGTTGCTTTGAGGAAGGCTGAGAACATGGAAGGAGGACTCCATTTTAACGTCTTCACTGTGGACTTCAACGAAGAGCTGGTGGCACTTTACGGAGGCAGTTTGCTCAGACAGACCCACTTCCTACACGAGAGCATTAAGGCCATTCTGCGGCTCTACAAGGTTAAATTTCATCTATGTCCAGAGCATGTGGGATATCGGCTGTGGGGTTGTGTTACAGCTAAAGGGTTGTCCAACATATAAATATCACATTCTGTCGCCCTCTACTTTTACCCCAGTTAAGCCTTAAACAAATTCTTTACTGCAGTTTTAGTGAGCGACATTGGAGAGCTTTGTTTGCAGATATAATTAACAGATGTGATGACAGAAAGGTGGAAGGTGACTCTGACCAACCAGTTAATTAATTTTATTGGTATAAAACCAGTACTCTTATAAAACCCATATAAAATTATTGTTTGGATCAGCAGTGATGCATGTGGGGATTTACACTGCAGAATCAGTGTAACCTTTAAAGCATAAAGGTTGTTTAATGCATACAATGAATTTAATTATTTTTTAAATCTTTTATAACTCTTACACACAATATACAAAAATTAAACAAATTAAAAATCATGTGACCAGAAATTGAGAAATAATCTGATTGCTCAAAATCACTTTTTGTTCTCATGGCATTATCTTGTGTTCCTTCTTGTGAAAATCCTGTCTCGTCCCAACACTAATATCTTACCTGAACTGGTAGATCATTTTAAAGCATTTTAAAGGCCTGTAGATGCACAAATTGCAGAAGCTATCTTGTGTAAAAAGTTTGCACCTGTCTTTCCAGCATACTGCATTATCACATAGTTTCTGATCTGGCAGTACTTGCTAAACAGCTTTTCCAGTCTTCCTGGCGCATGTTGCATTCATTCTGTTATTCTTTAGCATCTCTGTGTGAAATTATGTTGGGTTTTTGCTCTACTTTTAGTGTGCTTAGCTGTTTAGCACATAATCAAAACAAACATAGCAGCTTACACTTAAAAAAAAAAACGAAAAAAAAAAACAGATGACTGAAAATTTTGTGATTTTTGCAGAGTCAGCAATCGATGCACTAACCACTGTTATTTATCTCAGGTAAAGATAAGATGTTATTTTCACAATAATTTTTGTGAGATGTCTTCTGCATATGCATATGAGAGATGCATACAGAGATACAAAGTGAGGAAAAACTTTGGACCCCGGCAAACTATTTAAAATCAGTTAGCTACCAGAACCAGGGTTTTATATACATAGGCAATGTGGGTGAAGTGTCTTGTCTGAGAGCACAACAAAAGCATGCTCAGGTGTTAGCAGGATGATTGGTTTTCATGAAGATGTTTGTCTCAAATCTGTTGTTTATCTTCATGCTCTTGGCACTGGTAACTTGAAGATGACTTTTGCAAACTTCTTCTCCAGAAGATCAACTCCTTTGCCACTGCAGAATGTGGTTTTGCTTGATTGTGCAGAGAAGATTTAGTAATGGAGAGAGTATTTTCTATGTAGACTTTTGAATAGATAAAAATAAATACTGAAGTCCCTGTCGATCAGAGGCATAAATAAAGTTGCACTGAGGTCCAGTTTAAGAACATTTCAAGACCGGGTCTGATCACAGCATTTTTTATTTGAATTCAATATTAAGATATAATAAAAATAATAATACTAGTAATACTCTAAAATACCCAAACTAATTATGGTTGATATAAAAAGATGTTTTACATGAAGTGAAACATGGTAATGCTCAAAGGATAATCTGAGGGATAATACAGACACGTGTTGCTTTCAATGTGCACTGACTCAGAAGAGCAGACACTGGTTTGGAGCTGGACTCTGCAGATGGACTTATTTTAGTCTAGTCTTCCATGACCTTGTTTTGTACCGCCTCTGTCTCTGTCTCTGTCTTCTGGCTCACTACAGCCAAAAGCTGTCACAAGACTTTTTACTTTTTTTTACCGTGGGGGCAAAATTGCTGAGCACAAACATGCAATTACGGTTAAGAACCGGGACTACCCAAGGGCTCGCCATTTTTGTGAAAATCAAAATTGAATTATACATTTATTTTATGATTTGATTTATTATTTATTAAATGTGTCAATTATGTTTTAAATATTGATTTATTTTATGTTAATGTATTACTTTATTTGATTTGATTTATTACTTATTGTTAGAATTTTTATTTTATTTTTTTCCATGAGGAAAATCCACCAATGTGACACACAGTAAGTTGGTTTCTGTATGTCTTCTTCTCACAGCACCTGAAGTCCCCTCCTCAGAGCGTAGTCCTGGTCGGTCACTCTATGGGAGGAGTGGTGGCTCGGGCTTTGTTCACTTTGCCCAAATTCAACCCAAACCTGGTGACCCTGATCATCACCCAAGCCTCGCCCCATGTGGCTCCAGTGCTGGGGCTGGACCCATACCTGCTCAGTGAGTACCAGTTACACCTGAATGACAACTACAGGAACATCTGCCACTAGAGATGCTAATCAGGAAGACCTCTGAGATTTCTGATGAGCCTACTGCTATGTAAATTATTTGACTTAATTTTTCTTAAAGAAAATAGTTCACCATTAGCTCAATTCATAATAACACAAGATGCATAAAATATTATTTTACCAATATTTTCACCTGTTTGCTTTTAGACTGAGAGATTATTAGTCCATAGGGGCTTCATTATGGACTATACTCTTTAAGTAAACTCATACATAGGTGCATTATATACTGTACAAAGTACAGTATATAAAGTACAGATATGTATAATATCAATGCAGCTCTAGGTAGCTGTTAGCATGTTAGCATGCTAGTTGTTGTTGGCCGTTGGTGTGATGGCAACGCCATTCAGGCCTTTGGCATTGTGGCCTATTTCAATTTCAATCATTCTTTCTTTGTGTCTTGCTCCTGTCTCAGATTTCTACCAAGCAGTGAGGCAGAAGTGGTTAAATTCAGAGCGTCTCAGAAACGTAACGGTGCTGTCAGTGGGAGGAGGTTACAGAGACTTTCAGGTCCGCTCCGGTCTCACCTCTCTGCCCTGCTCCTCGGACGACCCTCACAAGATATCACTGGTGGTAAGATCATATTTTAGAACATCAATGGCCTAAAAACACATCACTGTCAAAACTGAGACTGTTGATGTATGTGAACTCTGCCTAAAAGACAAATATCGCTAGCAAATGATATCACATCAGAATATATTTTGTTTCCCAAGTTCCCAGTTTTTGAAGTAAAATGTGGCTAAAGCCATGACCACTACCTTTTTACATAGGTATGATAGAACAACACCGTGTCCATAGATGTGATGGTGTGGTTTTGGTGTTGCAATGAAAGCATCTTACATTTCAATAAAACAATTTCATTTACTTTGAAGATTTATTATGTTGTTTGTTTTTCTCACCAGGTAACTGCTGTGCCTCGTACCTGGGTTTCCACCGATCACTTATCAATTGTCTGGTAAATACTAAATCTTATTCTACACATCAGTTTAATGGACTTGTAGCTTTAGATGTTGACAAACATCATTTCATGTTTTCAGGTGCAAAGAGCTTGTACTTGCCACTGTGAGGGCTTTCTTTGACCTCCTCGACCCTGCCACAAGACAGGTTTGGAAATGGAAAAATACCTTCAAATAGTATGCAGTATATAAAATTAAGTTACAAGTCTATTAATGATACATGTATCTGTGTTATTTTAGTTTACAGAGGACCCAGAGAGGAAAATGACGGTACTGAACCATCACTTTATCAGACACCCTGTGAGTCCAGTAGGAGAGACTCAGAAAACCACTGCCTCCTTTTTGGGTAAGACCAACCTCATGTTTTTATTTAATTTTCAACAAATCTGTTCTTTGTGCACTGTTGTTGTGAAATTAACTGCATTGATGTGACATTTATTTATTCACTTGTTCATCTATTAATTTATCTATAAGTAGTTAATAAACGAAAAATGCGTAAAATCTAAATACTATTCTGGTCCAAAAGGAGTAAAGAACTTGTAATAGCCTAACTTAATGCTGAAATAGTAAATAATATATTACGTTCATGTTATATGCATATCATTACTACATACATTACAGCAACATACAAAGTAATTACATACAAAATATACAGTTGCAATTACATTTAACAATAAAAATATCAGTTATAATCTGTTGTTTTATAACCTATTGTTATAATCTTATTTTAACAGAATCCTCTGAAGCATGGAGTGAAGTAAACACACTGCGTCTGGCCTACACCACACCAAAGGTATTATTCAATATGAGTTTAATATTTTGCAAATGTAATTAAAATAAACGCACGTCTGTTGACAGGAAGGACAAATGAAGTACTTCCTGTTTGCTCTGTCCAGTCGAAGAAAAGCATACAGCCATTTCTACTGTAGGAGTAGTGGGCTGGTATGTATCAATATAGACACTTTAACTTAGCTTATATAAGTTAAGTAAATATATTGTGCATCTCTTTTGAATTTGTAGTTTTTATGTTGACATATTTTTGTATCTTTGGTGTTTAGCAGGACATGACCAGCTGGGTATATGGCTGCATGCAGAAAAATGGTTCCTCATGGTAAGACAGTAGGTTCTAAGGTGTTTACATAGTGTAACATTCGATTACATTACACAATCTTAAGTCTTTCTGAATTAAAATCTGATTCAGAAATCAAAAACTCAAATTGAGACAAAATACATTCATTTTGAAGAAATGACCATGAAAAAAATCATTTGGACCTGAGTCAGTTTGAAGTACTTCAGTTTTGCGTTAGGGTTACAAGATTAATTGTAATCAAATCAATATAGCAATTTGAATGGACACAATTAGCGCATCATAAAGGCTGCAATTTCTTAAGTGACTTAATTTCCTTCACAAACAACAAAACATCCTTATTTTTCATATTCTGCATTAAAACTGCTGACCCTGTAGTTTAGATCTGTACTCTTGTATTGGTATGCCAGTTTTTGTGTGTATTCTTGTCAACGCAAAATGTGAACTTTGGACAGAATCCTACTATTAAAACATAAATTGCAAATCTAGTCACGATGGTCAGAAAATGCTTTTCAGAAAAGTCCTGCTGCCCTATATTAAACATTAAAAGCTTTAATCAGTGAATTATCTTCTTTTTTTCGTCAGTGTCCATGCTGTGGATCTGTCAGTGGGAACAGAATACCTTCCTCCTTACAAGGTGCTATCAGACTTTAAATGATTATATTTATTTGTTTAGTATTTTTTAATGCATTTGTAACCTTCTATATTCTCACAATCATCAGGTGTTAATTCTTGATCTCAACGACTTGTCCGCATTTACTCATCTGGTTGTGGCAGCCTCAAATGTCAATGGAAAACAGGTATACTATCCCCAGATTATTTACTACCACTACTACTAATCTACTTTTTGTCTGTATAATTTTACATTTTGAACACTTTTAAATGCTCAAATTCTTAAATGTTAATTGTTCTACAGTTTACAGTGGAGTGTGAATGGCAGAGACAGCAATCTCAATCTCAGACCATAACTTTACCAGTGCCACATGTGCTTTCTATTGGTGAGCTGCATAATTATCAAATGCATCATTTCAAAATTTCATTAAACATTTCATAAACATGTATTTGCTTTTAGGTATGACTGTCAGTGATGTAACAATTGGCTCTTCCGGTCTTCTCCACACCATTCAACTACAGCACTTTCACCAGGTTAGTTTTTTGGACTATTTTACCTTTTGAAAATGACACAGGATTATGTCTGATTTAACAAATATGCATTTAATGGATATAAAAACATTAATAATAATAGGACTGAGAATAAGACAACATTGTTATATTATACAACTTAACCTGTAACCCCCCTTTGTATTTCTCAGGTCTATCAAGCTTTTAGAATCACAGTTGCTAGCCACTGTAAAATGCCTAAAGGTAAATCTATACTGTAAATTATAATTATACAAAAATTAATAGGCAATGTACTAAATTTCTACTGTCTTAAAGTGGGAAAAACAGAAATAGTTAATTTTAAAAGGTTTGTGGTCCAAAGTTATTTTTCCTTATGCATTCTGAGCATCCTAATTATCACCGTGATGATTTTGTAGACGCTTTTCACAATTTTCTGAGATCAGAGCAGAGTTTGCAGTCATGTTAATGCTATCAACAACTGGCATGGTACCGGCACTTCCTGATTCTCAGACAATTAAACATTTTATAACTGGATCCAAACAACGGACATATTTTTGAGTTGTGCACTTTGTGGACATTAAATGGTAGAAAATTAAAAGTGTCTCTTTGGGGATTATGTGCAGGGATTCACTGAAAAAGTTACTGCAAAGTCAGACAAAGGACCAGATGATAAAAAGTGCTTGCTGAAGCAGTTCAGGACTTCAGCTCTATCATAAACTGGTACTGAATCTTTAAAAAAAATGTAGGAAAAGCTTGAGAACTCTTATTTACAGACAGAGACTGAATCACTTTCCAGAATTTCTGTGGATCATTGAGATTCTCAGTAGTGACAGACAAAAATATTCAGATTTAGCCTTTTTAATAAGAAGTGCATTTATTGTAAAAAATAAATAAATACATTTGGTACAGGCTCTTTATGCATACTACTAACAGCTGTTTATTTGTCATTCAGAGAGATTGTCTGATGTCTATAGACTCAAAGTATCATGGTTTCGCGAAGACTCACTAACCACTGTCAGGTTGGTCAAATTCAGTTGCAAAGCACATGTACTAATAGTTTAATATGTTAACATAACATGCTATTTTCACTTTATTGTCCAAACAGTGCACCATCAGTGACAGAGATCTCAGGGATGCTTCACACAAGTCGCCCAGACAATTCTTCTGGTGCCATTCTTCAACTCCACACTGCCCCCAACTGCCAATATAAGGTAAATAAATAAAATTACAAGCAACATTTTAATATTGAGTTCTTATTCTAGATCTAACTATATACATTTATTCAATTTTCATTTACAGGTGTCTGTGAGGACATCTTTACCCAAAGTGCTGGGGCAGGTATGTGATTGTCTGAAAGAAATGATTTATGCATAAGCATAATTTTTAAGTATTTGTAAGTCTAATCACAATAATAAAATTATAAAATTCTGTTTTCAACTACTATTCTATTTTCAACAAAAAAATATGTTCATGAAAGTAAAAGAATATATAAATAAGCTCATAGACCGTAATCATTTCCATAAAACATTTGACATGGCATTCATAAGTATATTTCTATGAATCAGATCTCATACATTCTCAATAGCTTTATTTATAAAAGGGCTATAGTGACTTTTTGTTATGTCTCTTGTCTCTGATTTTAGGTGCTAAGATTCTGTGGTCCCATAGTGCCAGTGTACACAGCTGTTACACTCCTCCTCGCCTGTGGGAGGCAGCTGACTTTAATCCTTGATTCTAAAGAAACTACAAGTATGGGTCAAGCAGTGGCCAAAAGCTTTCAGCCTCATAAAGTCATCCTCCCTGTTTACATCCTGCATGCATTACTAAGGTATGGGTTTTAATCTATTCAGTGATAAGATACTTTGTTGATAAATCTTCTTCTTGTGTAATTTTTTTTCTTATCTTAAAGCTACCATCTGTAAGTTTATATGATTTTTTTTTTTTTTATACCAGTAGATGGTAGATGTGAAACCTATTCCCCTTCTGTCAGGCACACAGAGAGCATCTAGTGGTGTTATGTGAGAATACAACAGGACAAGGCCGGCAATGCCAAACCACAAATTGGGACTTTAAATGTTTTATTTTCGGTTTTATTAACAATTGGTATTTGTATTTTGTATTAATTTATTAAAGGGACAATGCATATTAAAAGACAAGATCATGTAAGAGACAAACATGTACTTGCAAATATGCAGGATTTTAGCCAAAGCTAATTTCCATCCTGGACCAAGGCCAGCCACGTCACCTGCACAATTCATAAAATATGACAAAAGCCTAAAATACCCACTCCCACATACATGTCTCACTCATACACTGTAAAACACACTCATGCGATGTACAGGTCAGACATATACTCTCATTACTTACACATACACAACACTAACATCTATTTACAGATCTATATACAAATGTGATTGCAGTCCCCAGCTCCTGGGCAAAAGGTGCTGTTTAGGTTTAGTTGTGTGGATAGATCTGATTGTCCAGTAGCCATGATTTAAGTTGAGCAGAGTTGCACTTCTTACCATTTAAAAATAGGAAAAAATGAAAAAAACAAAACAAAACATATGTCTGATTTTTTTTAAAAAGGGAGAAAATAGTATCTATTTCCAGGGCCGGACTGGCAATTTGTACGTTCTGGAAAAGGAAAAGTCCAGAACGACCTTCCAACCGTGGTATATTGACCACATCATTCAACATCCACTGCTGACTAATGCTGATAATACTTACACTACATCTGGTTTAACCTAATGTAAAAGCCGTGTCCTTCTTAAATAAATAACAGAATTAATACATAACTAAATAAATACATAAAAACATGAATACATGAATAAAAACATAAATATGCAGACAGATGCAAGCCATGGTTGAATATGTTTATAATCCTCTAGTGTTTAATATTGTGTTTTTGCTAGTATTTAAATGCATATTGCTGTCTTTCCCCTCTAGCTGTAGCTGGTTTGAGGAGCTGTGGTCTTTTCTTCTGCTCCCTCACATGGACTCCCTCACTCCCACTGTCCCAGACTCATCTCTCACTGAAGATCTGTCCCCAGAGGAGTGGCCCTACCTTCTTTCTCCTCTCCTGTACCTGATGGGGGCCGCGGTGGCATTCTGGGGCAGTGCTTTGCTACGTATCGTTATCCGTGTGCTATCTCTAATATTAGCTCTACTGCACAGGTAAAGGTATTTCAACAAGTTAACTAGCACTTTGCAGAATACATATTTGTTTTTGGCAAGATCCTAATCATTTTGATAATAATCAGATTTTGGTGTGCATGTTTAATGATTTTGAAAAATATTCCTAGTCAAGGATAAAAAAAATCAGACCCATTCTAAATTAATAATTTTAAGTGAAGTAGATGTGTGAGGGTATACTGTATATGTCTATGCATTATGGTTATACTTTTGCTTGTGATGTGGATAGTGTTTTTTGTGATATTTTCATATTTTTCTTGCAGGCCCTCAGTCTCCAGAGATTGTGGTACTCTCCCATTATGGACCCAAGTCCTGGTATCTGTGTCTCTTACTGTTTTGGGCAGCGCCACATGTGGAGCCTTGTCCATATTTACTGCTTTTATGTTCCACTTGTACAGGGTAAGTCTCAATCAAATACATGAATATGTGCATGATTATGAGCATTGTGATTAGATATGCTGTTTGTGTTTTGAAATTAAAATTTATTAATATTGAATGAAGACTAGCTATATTTAAACTGACAAACTAATACAAGAATCACACGTTTTAAAGCATGTCTAAAGCAGGGTTGAACAATTTGGGAAAAATATGTAATTGCAGTTTTTTTCTGACAAACATTGCGATTTATCCTTTATAAAATTTATTTTTCTTGCTTCCAGGAAAATTGACCAAAAGACAGACATTTTACTTGACAAACTAATACAAATTACATATCTAAATTTACAGGGTTAGCCATAGTTTATATAGAATAAGACAAGGTTTTTTGTGGTTTCGGGATTAAATTATGATACTTCAACAGCCTTTGTTAGGTCCATTCACATTATGATCTTGACTGGGTTCAAACTAATCTTGCAGCCCTAGTCTAAAATTTTTATCCAATTTCAATTTATCTCACAGCCCTAATCCTTATAAAAATATTCTTTAGCCTTACTTTCTTGTACTAACTTCTTTTTCTTGTTGTGTTTGATTAAAAAGGTGCTGAGGCTACAGATGACGGAGAGGTCGCTCAGGCACATGCTGAATCTGGTGAGATCTTTTCACGTTTTAATGTAGAACAATTTCCAGGGCTGAAAAGTCGTGAGAAAATGCTAGCTTAGTGCCGACCCAAGTCACTCTTAATTCATATACGCGTAAAGCAGTATATTTTAGCATATTTTAGCAGGACCATTAGTGGGAAAAACTAATTGAAATATTTTGGGAAATTTCAAGTGGAAAAAGCTTTCCTCAACAGATGGGTCTTGAGACTTGCACCCTATGATATGACGTTAAAAACGTGTCAGATTTAGAGAAAATGAAAACTTCTGCAAATACAATACAACACTGGCATATGTCCACTGCTCTTTACTTACTTTGTTGCCCAGTCTGTGATATGTGTTGGATTTAGCAGCATTGCATAGTCATTTTGGTACAAATGGGAAAAAAAGATCAGGTACTTGTTAGTGTGATCTGCAGTTATCCATCGGAGATGCCAACTTTGTTGTGATGATGTTTACACTGATGTCAGCTTCCTCTGGGCATTGCATCATTCTAACACAGAAATCAGTGGACTTGTTTCTTTTATTAAGTCATTTTAGATTAATATTGTGATTTAAAATGTGTGAATTATAATGTATAACATAATGATCCACTGGTGTTATAGATTATAGCTATATTGCAGACACCAGCACAATAGGGCTTCTTAAATTATATCTTGAGCTTTGGACAATCCTACTTGCTTGCTTACTTTTTACCCAAATGTATTAAAATGTTCTTCATAACTTTTCCCCAGGCCCCACAGAAGCACAAAAAGTCATTCAACGGCAGTGTAGACACGGAGTCTGTGTCGAAACCCTCTGAGTGTAACGGGATGCCCCTGCTCTCTGAGCGGGTGCTACAGGAGGTGAGGGGAGACCTGCAGCTGCACCTCTGTCTCTCCGTCCTCTTCACCGCTCCACTCATCCTCAGTGCTCCCTCGCTCCTGCATTGGATACGCAACATGAGGTAACACATTACTTAACAAGTAATATCTTAAAGTCACATTTTTAGCAAAAAAAAATGTAATGTATGTTTTTTGTTGGGAATCTTGTTTTGCCTGGAGGGGGCCTTCTCCTGCTTGTTTCCATGGAAATGTTCCTTTGGCTATAATATTCCTCCACTTGACCATTCCTCCACTCTATGGAGAATGTTCCAAAGTATGGTTTTATCTTTCTGTTACAATGGGTTCATGCAGGGGACATACCAACTCCATATAGTTACTGCTACTGTACTGTTGTTACTGTACTTTTTAAACTGACTAAAATCATCCAGGTATCCATGTATGTAATATGTAACATTAGTTTCAGCCATTCAGTATACGTTTTTTAGTGTTCCTCAACTTGGCATTATTTTTTTTGTTTATTTATTAATTTGAGCATCAGTTTAAAACACAAAATTAAGCATTCAGTTCATAATAATGATCATCTAAATGAGATAGAAGTGATTAATAGTATATGCAATGGAGTCCAAAGGGGGTAAGAAGAAGTTTTAAACATATCCTACCCATCTTGTAAGGTCTAAGATGTAAAAGGGTACATGAAAGTGTCTATTTTGCTTCATCTGCTACTCAAGAAACAAAAGTACCCATTATATCAAATATGTATCCTGCACCCAGACTCTATGGAGGAATTTAGAAGAAATAGTGGAGTTCTAATAATTTTGTTGAGACCAAAATTTGACTGAACCAAAACTGTCTCCAGACTCCACTTTTTAATGTGTCACTGAAGCACAAAAAATTTGTTTAATTGTCTCTGGGAGAATCCTGAGTGCAGTCAATTAATAAACAGTGTTAACAGTGAAAAAGGAAATTTCTATAGCAGTTCACTGAGTTTTAGATTTCTCATAAGGAGTAATATTTCATCTGTCTAATAACCAGACTGTGTATAAAGAAATGGGTTAAGGGAGCATCATGTCACCCACAGCATTTGGCCCCTGTCAAATGAAGCTCACGAAGCTAGCACTTATGGGGGGTAAATTGGAGTTGAGTTCCATATTAAGCATAGGAATTACCGTAATAATAAATAGCTAAAGCACCAAGGTCATGTAGACCGGGTTAATACGAACATTTTAACAGCCAAATAACAAGCCTGGCAGCAGCAGTTACAGGGACAAGAGCAACAGTTCCTCAATACAAAGTGAATTGGAGAGGGACGCAATGGAACCGGTGGCATGTCCATGCTCACTTCCTATTTGGAATGCAGCATGTCCATGTCTATTCCCATTTATAATTTATGGTAATAACTGATATATTGATAATTGATATGATGTGCTGCTCTGCAGGTATAGCACACAGCTGGATCCTGACCCTTGCTGGCCTCACTATGTGCCTCTCATTATTACATACTTGCTGCTAATCAACTGCAACACTGAAACATTAGGCAAAAGGTAGGACAATTAATACAATGTTTCTTATTTTACCATCTCAATTTATTTTGCTTAACTTATATCATGGTTTATTTTTCTAGTAAACTGTTGCCTCTGGCCTCATGGCTCCCTCTACCATTGGCTGTTGCGATGTTGAGTTTCTCCGCTCTCCATCTCTACAGAATCACATACTATTTATTGGCAGCACTGGCACCCATGGCCTTATGTTGTCTTCTTTGACAGTACACCTTTACCATAACAAGCCTTTTTATCTAAGTTTCTGATGGACTCATTCTCATTAATAGGTCATGAATAGATTGCGTTCACCTTTACAAAATGTAGTGTTAAAAGCTTACAAAAAGGGACAATGTCAATACAAAAAATAAATAGACAATACTGTATTGTGTTGTAGTATAGTATGTTGTTCTAGGAACAACAGCACATTCTATAGTTGTGTCCCTGAGAAAGACACCTCACAATTCTGACAAGATTATCAATCAGTAATTTTAATAATTTCGCAACAATATAATCTTAACTAAAAAATATGAATAGTGAGAATTTTAGAAGCAAAAATAAGTCAATTATTTGATCCATAGCCCCCCAAATCCTAACCTAAATGTGTTTTATTTTTGTTTTTTTAAGACAAAGTGTTTAGCTTTTCCTTCTACATACGCATTTGAGTGTAATCTTGTGAACGCAGCCTATTCTTGTTGACAGACAGAGCTATAGACTTACATGAGTGATCTGCTTGTTTTGAATCAGCATCAATTGTTCCAGCCATTTCTCTATGTTTTAATAGGACAAAATGTGACGCTGGAATCTGCCTTACAACTGTATGTATATCTATTGCTCTGTCATTAGAATGGGAGGAAGGATGTTACTGTTAAATTGTGTTGACAGTGTCTTAGTTCATTGTGATACTTATGCTGTATAATCTCACACTGCCAACAGCTTAGCATAGACTCTAGATGTCTTTACCTGCTGACTGTTTGTTTATATGAATATCCAATAGTAAGATTTATTTTACACAACAGAAGTCCAAAGGAAATCATATTTAAATCCATGTTTTATATATTTATAATCCATTCACATAGTATATATGGGATTGGTTTGGTTTGGTTTTGGATCAAAGTGGTTAAACAGGAGTGTAGTAATAAGCCAATAATGTAATAACAATGTTGAGCCTTTCAAACCAAGAAAATATTTGGCTTGCTGAGTGCCACCAGATCTAAACCAGGGCTATTGTAGGTCTTTTAGTGGACTACATCAAATTCATTATAGTTCTAAACAAGAAATTGTTGAAATGAGGACACAAAAGTGGATAAAATGATCTGAAAATCCCACTTACTGAAGAGCCACCTGAAGGATCTTATGTTATTGAGAAACACTGTCATAAATTATTACATTATTGGCTGGTTATCTTTAGCCTGACAAGGAAAAAAAGAAAGAAAAAATCTGATAATCTAATAACTGCAGCCAATAATGTAGTTATTGGAGTCTTGTACAGTCAAGCATTTGGCGCAAGGTAAACAAAATAATCTGTCTGTAATGTGGGGTTTATTGTATATTTTCTAGTATCATCCAATCCTATCCACTTTATTTATATAGTAGTAAAATAAAACAATACATAGAAAACCATACTTCAAAAGGCTCAATTATATATATATATATATATAAAAAAGGCTTAAAAACTATCAAATACAGTGTTTATCATAGATTCTGGGGAGACTATGTTGGAACAAATAATTTTGATTTTAATCATTTTATCTTATACAATTTGTGCAGTATAAATAACATTTATTGTCTATTTTTAATCTTTATGCAGTCCTTTTCGCCTAGTACAGTTACTTGTTAATGTTTAAGACAATGGGAAACAAAGTGTGATTTTGCGATGGCAGTGTATTGTCCAGCTGTTTTAGACTATGTGGGAGGCATCATATTCTCTTATAGTAATATGAAATACTGAACACGCAGAGAACTAGCCAGAGAATAAAAGTGAACAAGTCACTGAGCAAATGAACAATTTGATCTATTTATGACAAATGACTCCCTGCTTATCTATCTAGTGTATGATATAGCTATAATATTGAGTCAAATGCATATAAAAACATCTCCAAGAGTAATGGTGATTGGGTTTTAAAGTAGTAGAGTGCTGGTTGTAGTCATTGCCAGCAGATGGAGTCCTTGTCAGTCCCTACTTGCTATGTAAACTGAAGGCATCAGAGAAACTGACTTCAATATACAACTTATTTGAATTGTTAAGACCAATACTAAGGTGCTCATGTGCTTTCAAATCCTGAATAGTCAGTAATATAGGACTTTTACTAAAAGTTATGGAGGGAACAATTAATTAGAATAATAAAAAATTATACAATAATAATTATAGTCATATTTCGGTAACCTTAACTGTAATCTAAACAATTCAGACATAAGCCACATACTAAAAGACAATTTCAATCATTAATTTTTGAATGCAGTAATTGATTAATTGAAAAATAATCACTAACTAATGGACTGCTAAAATAAACATTGGTGGCAGCCATACTAAATTTTAAACTTGAATTGCATAACACTATTAGGCATCAATAAAAATCCATGTACCACCATTTTTGGAATCATGTTTGCACAAATTTAAACCATTCGCAGTTTAGCTTAAAATAAATTTCTGGTAAATTGGGGACTCTTTGATATCACTGTAAAATATACTTATTTGGGACCAATTTCTTTGCCTTTGGTTTTTACAGTAATACACATCTAAACTACCAAGTAAACAGTAGGCCTATGTTATCTTCCACTGTTGTTCCTTGTGAATGTAGCTGCACTGAATGTGTGTGACTTCATGCACTTGTATTGGTGAAGTGAAGCTTTCGTGCACTTGTGGTTAGTGCAGTTTTGTGCTGTGAGATGCACATTTTATGCCTTGTCGTGAAACAGGTGGAAAACTTTATAGGTTAAAAGTAGAACAAATGATGAATATGTTTTCTATTACTGTTAATGTATTTTATATGGTGTTCACTGTGATCATATCTAAGATTGTTGATGACTTCTTTGATTTTTGACGATGGAGGGGTGTCTTTGTTTTTATTTGCCAAACATTGCCGGGTTTCAGCAAAGCTTCATGATCAAAAACTAACCTAATTTAATTTAATAAAACAACTTCTGTAATTATTATTATTTTTTTTTTAAAGGTGCACTATGTAACTTTTTTGTTGCTTGTCTCCATGGAAATATTATGTTGTATTGCCTGGATTGTTCCACAGTATGGCGTTCAACACTGTTCATGCGTTTTTTTTAGGTAAAAAATAACTTTAAAAACATGCATTCTTTCTTTGTGGAGGGTCACCTTTCCACAGACCTGTAATTTGGCCTGGTAGTATCGCCTGCTTGTCTCCATAGAGATACATAAATTAAATGCCATACTGTGGAACATTCCAGGTGAAATAATAATATCCCCATGGAGACAACAGCAAACCCTCCACCAGAAAACTTACCTTTACTTAAGTTACTTCCTAAACAATTATTTTCATTTTATTGCCATTTCAACCACCAACACTAACTACCCTTTTGTGGCTTATATCAGGCTTAAACATGTTGTGATCACTGCAATGTGTGTCATAAACTAAATGGCAATTGTTCACTGGATAATTCCATGTAAAAACACTGTTCTTGTCTTGAAGTGCTTTAAAGTGTGGTGACCGGTCTACTTTCTTCTGTTTCTGCCTACAGTGGCTCTAAAAGCTCTTCTTAGCTGCTGATTGTGTAAAGGTGGTTAATTCTGTGACCTTGTAATGATGCACCATAAATGCATTTGGTGTTTTGAATATACTTTATTAAGCAGCTCTTGTGTGAAGAGTGTCTGTATAACCCCTCAGGTTTAGGCTTTTGTCAAAATGAGCTAATTTGTTATTGTAAAATACATCTGTCATTTTTTTATCTGATGTTCCTGTAAATGGGTTAACGGTGCAATTTTTCGCACAAATGTTGTTGGAATAAAATATGCAAACACAGTGTTGTTTTATTATTATTATTATTATCATCATTATTATTATATTATTATTATTATTATTATTATTATTATTTGCTCTTTATTTAAATAATTAATAAATAAGTAATTAATTCTGTGTTAGAAAACTACGATTTTTTTTTTTTTTTACAGCACATAGTCACTTGTATGTAGCTGATGGAACGCAGCATGCTAGTTGAGTATAATTTTTTGGTTCTTTTTGTTTTCTTTTTATTGACATCGCACATGTCAGTAACGTCAGTTCCTTGATATAATAATTAGATCTTAGACTATACATAGGCCTACTGCACTTTTCTTTTTAAACTCCGCTGAAGGTAGGTTAACAGAAAAAAATAAATAAAAAGAAACATGTTATGCTAGGTGATGCTAGCCAATATACGTGTTCAAGCTTGTGAAATTAAATATTTTAACTTGGTTAGAGAAACATGCATTGAATTCAACAAAAGCTGCACCAAAAAGAAGATATGGCTCGTTGAAGGCTTTTGGTTTACACAAAAAAACAGCCAAAATTATAATCATTGTAAATTTGCAGCTAATGTTGAATTGAATGTGTTTTTCTCTAACCAAGTTAAGGCATGTCAAATTAAATAGTTTAACACGTATATTAGCTAGCATAAACTAGCATAATACGAAAACACAAAACAAAGACGATATTTTTACACTCATATTTTCATATAAGAATTGTATTTCCATCATTAGATTCACAATGTTTACTGTTTAATATGACTGTATGCAGGCATGACACGAAGCTGCACCTCCTTCAATCGCCCACCAGAGGGCCCTGTGTCTCACCAGCACCATGGACAGAGTCTGCGACAGTAGGTCACTAAAACTCCTATATCACGTGAAACAAAACTACATTTTACTCTGATGGCTTCACTGACTACATAGCTAGATTCAAATTGTAGCTAACAATAACGCAAGAGAATTTTTCTCTATATAACATTACTCCTATTCTTCAATATGTGATAAAAGGTAATATTATTACCTGAACTTGTCTGTTTTTGAATCTTTGTAAGTGTAATAATATGCATCATTGGAAGTTCTAAACCAAATGTTAAAACTTTTCTCATCACATAACACGTAAGAAAACATTTGGCTTTCCAAGTACCACCATATCTATGCCTATTCCAGGTATAAGATTAGAGGTAGAGAGAAGACTAAACCAGGTGTAATTGGACTACACTGCTACTGTAGTTCTAAACACCAAATAACCTAAGGGAGGATGAAAATGTGGGTACAACTGAACTGATTCATACTCATGAAATTTTAGAAATGCAAAGGACATTGCATACCACAGTTTGAAAAGCAATAACTTAAAGGTCCTATGTTACACATTCTTGTGAGTTTTAAGCCATGTTATAATGTTATTAACTCATCAAAAACATACCTGTGGTTGCATTTTTTCATTCACACATGTTAACTTTAACCCTTTATTATAAATCTGTCTACATACTCTGTTTCACCTTGTGATGTCATGCAGTGATAGTTTTCAAGTCAACAGCTACTTTTTACCTTTTGTTCGGTAAAGATTGGCAACTACAGACCAGAAACCATTCAGATGCTATTCTATTGAAGGTTTATGGAGATTAAAAACACTATAGAGTGAGAGTTAGAGAGCAGAACTCAGCCTATATCTGCAGGATTTTTGTGTTAAACGTGTGAATGAAACAAAACACAACTCCAAGTATGTTTGTGCTCAGGAAACAACATTATAACATAGATTAAAAATAATATAATATAGACCCTTTTAAAGGATGCCTAAATATCCTTAAATCACATGGATATCTTTGAAAATGGCTGTTTATCGGTTTCAGAAAAACACCTACAAATGGGCTGCTGTGTAACTTTTCTGCTTGTCTCCATGGTGATGTTATTGCTTCTGCCTGGAATGTTCCACGGTATCTTTCTTTCAGTTTTTTATTTGCATTTGTTACCTTTACCCTGGCCGGATGGCAAACCCGCTTGTCTCCATGGAGATAGATAGGTTAAATGCCGTTCTGTGGAACATTACACGTAAAGGCAACATCTCCATGGAAACCTGCACCAGAAAAGTTACATGGTCCATCTTTAACTGACAAGGCATACAGATTAAGAGCTTTTGAAAATGTAGTCTGGGCAGATTAAAAGGTTGTTATTTTAGGTTAAATTTGGTGTGTTTTTCTTGTACAGCGTGCCACAGGTTGATTGCAACACTGCAGTCTCCGTGTGTCCAGTCACCGCCCACTCTGGCATTTTCCCACATTAATATGCATTGTAATATGTAACAGAAAACTACATCTGAGCTCCTATAGGACGGTCTTCAGAGTGAATTACGAGCGCCTCTGCGAATAAATGCAAATCTCATGACGCCATCCACCGCTAGGCAAAGGTAGGCTGCAGCTGCTTGAGCCAGTCGGATTTATTTAGTCGCTACATCTGGTGGGGAGGACGCGGCAAACCTACGGAAAGACTGCGGCGCGAAGTGCACAGGGAATAGGCTGTTGTGACTGTCTTTGGCCGTCACCAGCGGTCGGACTGCGGCGGGAGAGCGTAACAGCGGAGCAACTATAGCAGCCAATACGCACGCACCTTCTCGAAGTGCTGCAGCCTGGTCTACATAAGACGCGGACCCAAAAACTGCACATGCTGTGGATCTGACACAGAAGCAGCGAGCGAGGAAGCGAGGGAGGGGGGGCATAGCGCGACACCCCACCCGTCTTGCCTCGTTTGGACTGCGGGATAACGAGCTGAGTCGAGTCGTACGGAGCAGGTGCCGTCCATCCGTGTGTCCGCATTTTTCCTCTCCACCTCTGCAGTAAAAGGTACGCGCTGCCTCTTCTACATTACACAGCCTACACCACTGGAGATAGCGGCGTTATTGCTTTACGTTCATGCCTCTCAAGAAATATGACAACGCTTGCAAATATTGACTCTTAAATCTAATTAACCGGGCTAATTCACTGCTGCGTCTGCTGTGCCGGGGGTGAATCGATCATTTCGCTTCATGCGTGAAACCATATAGAAAATGACGTAGGGAATTCCCACAGAAATCCAATAGCGTGCGCTGACACCTGGACCATTTCGCCATGCAGTGCTGTGCTTGCTGCTGTTGGCGGTCAGTCATGTGAGCAAAAACCAACGCAGATTAAACTTGGAAGAAAACTGTTATGTAACGCGATTTTGCTGACGTGATTGGGCTCGCAAGTGGGGGTTACCTTCACGGCTGTATTGCCCAAAGATGCAATATGGCTGCAAACCCCCCAAAAAAGTGCTTTCAGTTGTTTACACTGCCAGAGACTAGTTTGAAAAATGTTAGTGTGATGACTGCGACAGGGCTCAACGTAAACTGCACGTCGCGCCAAATCTTTGTAGAGAATCCTGCTTATTCCACCTTTCCCACGTTTGCTGTTGTCTGCAAAGCCTAGTGCCATCGAGAACATGTTTGCATATCTTTTCAGGTCTTAGGCTGTTAGTTTTGTTGGTCAGTGTATGGCATTACAGTGAACGTTACTATCCCCATGGAGACAAAGCAAATTATGTCACCAGGCCAAGTTTACAGGTCAGATCTGTGGAGAGATAACCTCGCTTGCAGTAAGAAAGCATCTGTTTCATGGGAATTTTAGAGCAAAAATTATAACTAACTATAATTTCATGTCATACAGTGGGGACATTCCAGGAAAATGATAAATGGGTAACATATTCATGGAGACAGGCAGGTGCAGCCTCCATCAGAAAAATGACTTAGTGTACCTTTAACAAAGAACCTGTCCACAGTAGTTTTCAAAATGCGACAATGAGCACGGCCTTTTTCAATCAACACAAAATAGCCCACAAGAAAATCTATCAAAATAATCAATTTGTATTATTTTTCTACCATTGTCCATTTAAATTAGCGTCTTTTTGTTGTGCTGCAACTGTCACTCAAATAAACAACTTTCACAATTTGTATGCGCTCTGCCAGACCATTTCACTATCCATCTGGAAGAGTGCGGCTATAGGCTATTTTTCATACACTGCCTTTGATTAAAGTAACAATTGAATACTTCTATATATTCTCCCTTAAAAGTGCACAATAGAACTTTTCTGGTGTCTAGTCTGTCCTGTACTTGTACCTGTGCTTGTATCCAATAAAATGCTTGAGACAATAAAACACAACTGAATAAAATAAAAATAAGTTTAATGCCATACTGTGGTACATTCCAGGCGAAGCAATAGCATCTCCACGGTGACAAGCAGGTCATGGACGCTTCACCAGAAAAGGTTTTCTTAATATGGATGTTTGGTGCAGTTGTTGTTTGGTGTAGTTTTTGCATATGTTTGATATATTTTAATACGCTATATTTCAGACATTGCAAAACAAACAAACAAACAAACATGAAACTGAGATAAAATTGGTAAACTTGCAGGCTTTGTGAGCTATTGTAGGGTTAGTATGAATCATAGACTATAAATGGGCATAGCTAACCCACTAGCTGCCACGTTCCAAATAGGAAGTGAGCATTGGCGCACGTCCGACTCCACTGACTCTGGTTCGATATCACTTCACATTGAAAAACTTGTCCCCTCTGTCCATAACTCCGTAAATCAAAATATTAATATTAATAACCAATCAGGCACCTTCTTTTTCTGGGGTTGCTTCAGTTACTATGACATTCATTGGAATTCCAAATATGGAACTCGGCTCCAAATTTGCCCTCGTAACTGCTAGCCCTGACAAGCTTCATTTGGCTGAAGCCGAACGCTATGGGTGAGGTCACACTCTCTAATAACTATAGGATGCTTTATTTGGAGGTGAAGTATAGTCAAAAGAACACAAATATTGCTCATGCACAAATGGAATCATTTAATAACACTGTTGAGGCATTACGCATTTGTAAAGCTAAGTATAATATTTGATTAAATTTGATTTAAATTGTCGCTCCTTATTGCACACAAAAAATGTTTGCTTCGAAACGCTGCTTAAGACAAATTCCAGAGATCCTTATCAAACTTGCATATTTAT